CTGCACCACAGATTGAGCTTCAACTGGTCGTTAATGGCTGAAAGCAGAACGGGAAGACGAAAGAAATTAAAGGAAGTTATGTTGGATCTATGGGTGAACTCAAATAAAATTGAAAACTTGTTTTGGCGTCCGTTTCGGGTTTCTTCAAGCACCATGATAAAAGGTGTGAAGTTTTCTCTAGATACCAAAAATAAACTACAAGTATCACAAAAATATATCCTAAATAAAGTAAAATTAATTAATTTTTTGGGAAATTGGACCATTTGCATAAAATTGGGAAAAAAAATTCAATGTTAGGTCTCCCAAAAAAAAAAAAGGGGTCCCAATAAAATCGCATTATTCTTGATCTTTTTCAACATTTCAGATCAGAAGTAAGGGGAAGTTTGATGAGTTTGGTTTGGTGTGAGTATTCAATTTGTGTGTCAATAAGCCGTGTAGTAATTTTATATAGGTGCATGGTTTATCAATTAATTTGTATAAAAAGTATTGATGGGTTTTTTTTATACAAATTTATATATAAATATAAACGATAGTCAAAACTATAAGAGAGAGAGTTTCTCACACACACTACTAATGTGTTATGATATTCGAACATGAGACAACAAGTCTGCAAATCAAGACCTTTTCTACTGGGCTAGACGACTTTGATAGGTGTTTTTAAGTAAATCCTTGGGTGTCCATAGAATCCATTTAAACTAAACATATGATGACATTGCATTAAGCGACTTTAAGAGCATCAACAATGGAGGGCTCTAAATTTGGGGTGCTCCCACCACTTGTAGAGACTCATTTAGCAACTAAACAGAATTTCTGGCACGGTTGATGAGCGTGCATGTATCTATCACTATTGTTGTGTGAGTATATAGTCCAACATCGCGTTCATGTGTTTTGGCCTGATTTCAGGCCCGGCCCATAGCTTGTGCAGGCTGGGTGACTGCACAGGGCCCCCCAAAAATTTGGAGTTTCCAAATTTTTTTAAGCCCAGTTATAAAAGAAAATAAAAGAGGCCCTTTATATATCTAGACTTCACTTTTGGAATATAAAAAAAGGCCTTTTGACAAAAGAAAACAAGAAAATGGGCCTCTTTTTGTTTTCAATTCCCTAACTCAATCTTATAAACAAATGAAAGTACAAATATAATCAACACTGCACAGATATCATCTACTTCAACGACGGGAGCAGACCCATACTGCATATCTCCTTGAACTCCTGCTTGCATCATCCAACCTAGAATGAATCACCCACCCAAAACCTCCCATATTTGTCTGCGCCACCCAAGCCCCATCACAATTTGCTTTCACAAAACAATGCCGAGGCTTTTTCCATACCACATGGAGCTGTTTAGCTTGGTCAGGGGGTCTAGGTAGCTCATTAATCAATGGAGCTTTGGGCATGACAACCACCCAGTATTCCCCCACTGGCACTATCATTATACTTGTTGCATCACATGGGTTTATATGTAATCCTTGGAACACCGATGAGAAAATAAATTTAGTTGATGCAGTTAAAGGATGGAATTGGTTTTATGGAGAAATTATATAATAGTACGGATGTACCACGTCAGCATGTGGTACTTCCATTCAAATATTGCAATGTGTCCATTTTAAAATAAAAATTAAACTTTTTTACAGCTGGATTTATTTCTTAATTTTTATCTTATGAAATAAAATTAGAAAATTGAAAAACTTAAGAAAAAGGAAAAAGAAAAAGAGAATTCCCAATAGCAAAACCCCTCCTGAACCCAACACCTCTAATCCCAAAAACATGCCACGACCTCCACCCATCTCCATACTACCTGCCATGACTGCCACCCATCTCCCTTCCTCTTCCTTTTTCCTTTTCCTTTTCAACCCTTATAGTAATTGTAGGTAGTGGAGTATAAAGAGAGGTAGTGAAAACTAGTATTGATGATTATGATGATGATGATGATGAAATGGAATAGTGGAAGCGTTGGTGTTTGTGTTAATGGTTGGGAAATGTTAGAGTGAATGCAAAACAGAGAGACCCTTTGAGAGAATTGTTGTATTGTATTGACTAAAATAATTGTTACCAAGGAGTTACGGTATTGGATCTAGGTTTGGAAATAGTATGATGATGGCAAAGGTTGTCATGATCAATTTCAGAGAAAGGGGAATTAAGGAAGATGAGGATTTGGACGCCGGTGGCAATGGTGAAGAGGAAAAGAGAAGGGGAGGAAGAGGAAGAGAGAGAGATGGCATCTAGAACGCACTGGGGTTTTAGGGGAGGGGCGGCGGTGGGGAATAATTTTTTTTTTCTTTTTCAGTTTTTCAAATTTAAAATTTTATTTCATAATATAAGTCCAGTTGTAAACAAATATTTAATTTCCGTTTTAAAATAGACACATGGTAATAATTGAATAGAAGTATCACATGATGACGTGGTACATCCGTACCATTGTATAATTTCTCATATTTATGTATTGCGGTGCAATTAATGTCATTAAGGATGTGTTTGGTTCAATTTATTGATTGCGAGTTTTTTTTACTTGTATGTTTGTAGAGGGCCCCCAAAATCAATGAATCGGCCATGCCTGATTTTATGTGGGTGCACCCACATGTGAATTTCTCTTCCTATGGAACCCACTCATGGGCTTGTGAGAATTTTTAAGAGGCTCAAATGGGCATAAATCCCAATTGAGTCTCTAAAATGTGAGCACCCATAATGGAAGAGCCCATTTAGAGCCCCATTGTAGATGTCCTAACATCCCAACTAAGTTTCTAAAATGTGATCACCCATGGTGGTAGAGTCCATTTAGAGCCCCATTATAGATGTCTTATCTAATTCAGCACATGGGACTTGAAAATAAGGTAAATTGGTGATTGAAAAATGGGGGTCTATTATACCTGTTTAAGGTTAAATTATCATATATTTTTCATTATTATTGTATAGATTATTAAGAGTGTTTGACGTGGGTCAGTGAAAAATGACATTGATTTGCAGATCAGTGATCTCAAGTTCGAACTCCCATAACACTGTGGTAGTATATGTGTGAGAAATCCCTCTCTCCTTATAGTTTAGACTATCGCTTGCATTAAAAAAAAATTATGTGACCTGATGATTGTAATTTTCTTTCTTTTTATTTTTGGTTGACAAATTGAGTGCTCTTTATTGTGCAAAACAACTTAAACACGAGCTGAAATTACACTTTCGTTTTTCCTTGTTTCTCCACAAACAAAGTTAATTATCACAGACAGACCACATGTAGTGGATGTTCATCAAAGTTCTTCTGTCTTTGGATTACCTTTGCTTGTCGAGTAGTTTATCCTTCATGCAATACCAATTAAATTACTAGTTAATATTAAACATATTTTTTTCCCTGCACAGAAATGTCTTATCAAAATCTTTGTGGGGTTGTTGTTGTTGTAGATAGCATTACAAGCTGGAAACTGGAAACCCAAGTCTCTGCATTTATTTATTTTGGTGAAATATCAAACAAGACAGAAAGATAGCAATCAATGGGTGGGAAAAAAGGGTGCCCAAGTTTGCTTAAAATATAAAACTATAGATCCACCATTCAAATATCACACACCTACTATATTCTATATCTACCATAATTAATTATAGCACCACCACTTGCCTCCCTTACTGTTAAAGTTGAAGCCCACAGAAGCTCAAAATCCCAGCACCTGGTTTTGCTTAATTATTTTCCTATTCAGTTTTAGACTTCAATTAGCCCCCACCCCACCCCACCCTAAACTGCCAAGATATTAAGATTTTCCCTTCTGTTTGAATTGATGTATGCTGACAAGAAAAGAACTAGAACTGTGTAGGGGCACCAATATGGATGGCCATGGCTTCAATTAACCATTGGAAATCAAATCCCATCTTTGTGGTACAATAATAAATATACTCTGCAACTTCATCATGCTGTGGACAGTAACTGGGCACAGAGGCTACCTTATCTGCTCAAGAACTGGCCCATTGGATTGAGTCCCCCATTTGGATGACACTTGTATTTAAAAACCACCAATGAGAATTAGATGAAACATTGTGAAGGAATCAGTTCAACTGGTTTTTAGTACCGTACTTTTTTTTTGGCTTTTGGTTTGAGGGTATATGCCCGTTAGCTTCACACGTGGACAAAACCGCTCTAATACTATGAAGGAAATGTGACTTTTGGTTTGAGGTCCACCTCAAAATCAATTGGCAACGTGGCAATGTGTGGCATCTCTTCATATTCTCACTCCATCCGGTATCTATAAAACTGTGGTCTTGCATTATATAATGTACTGGACTTGTCTACCTATTGTCAAATGTAGTTTTGAGTTGGTTACTATAATGCTATCATGGTAGAAAGTCTTCTTTTTTCTTTTTCTTGCTAGCATATGAAGATTTGAACATGGTATATATGTCACTTTACACCACCACTAGACTGAGAATTCAATCCCAAAATTGGAAGGAAGTTTATGTTATTATATATTGTCCTTTTAAAGAAAAATCTTGAAAAGGGTGTTCATGGTATTCCTATATCTATTGTTCATTTAAAGAGAAACACCAATACCACATTCTTCCCCTCCTCATGCATGAAGTCTCTCAATACCAATACCACACTTTACCATAATCCATTTTTAATATCAAATTTTGTTTTACAATAGTTTGATTAGGAAATGGGATATATGGTAAACGTACGACGCAATTGTTTTATATTGCAAAAGATCTAAAGTACCCAAAAAAGGCAAAACGAAAATGAAAAGCAAATCATGCCTTAAACAAGCATTAATCATAGAGGGTTGCTTGCTCAAGTGAGTAGCATTTCGTGTTGTCTCATTCCTGCTCACCAAGTCGCCTTCTCAGTAAAATAATATGTAACACTTGTAAATTGTGGCACTTGGTTCCATTCCTAGCTCTCTTAAATGCCTAGCCCTTCACCTCCTTACCCTTTAAATACTCATCCTTTGGTTGCTTACTTCACTCCCAAAAGCAATACCGTTTAAAGCCTCATCTTTTGAGTGTGTTCTCCCATCCCACTCAAAAACACCATGTCTGGCTTGCCCATTTCTTCTATGATGAAGGGATGGTTTTCAGGCTTGTTGAAAACCACATTCAGGTCTAAAGAGATTGTTTCTTTGTGGGTTTTGGCTGCAATTGGCGATGGTTCAAGAGGTGGGGCTTTGATAAGTGTTATAAACAGAGTTGTTTTTACTGCATTTACCTGCATTCTTGCACTAGGTATGTTATTTATAACCCTTGACTTCATTGGTTTTCTTCTGTGTCTCAGTTTTGTAAGGGTGACACCAAATTTAGCCTATTTATTGAGAACACAGAGTCACCTGTAAACAGTTGTGGGTTTTGTAGGAGGGGCTATAATGGGAGCAATTCATGGAGCCATCACAGGCCAGACGACGGAGACTGGGTTGGTTACTGGAGCCGGAATAGGTTGTCTGGCAGGGGCAATTGCAGCCATTCAGTTGATGGATTTGGGAGTTGATGGCCAATCATTATCTAAGGTATAATGCCTTGTGTAAGTTTTCATTTTGTGCTTATAATATGCATAAGCCAATGAACCAAAATGTAACAATGAATCATGAGTTTTCGTCTTGAGGTTTATAGTTCTAGTGGTAGAGCACTTAACCACACATATGACAGAGTTCGATTCTTATTTTGCTCCTTTACTTGGATATTTAAGATTCCGTCTTCGTGTTGGATTTTATAATAACTTTTTCTTTTATAGGTTGCTCTCTTGGGGGGTATGGTAAATGGGAAGGTGTTTATGGAATGGGTAAGTTGTGCAGTGCTAAAAGCCTATCACTGGCAAGTAAGTGTTTCCCTTCATAGACCAGCAATGCAATGAGTAGTTGTTTTTTTTCTTTTCTATATGGTAATTAATTTGAGTTACAATGCCAAATTTATTGAGCAGGTTAGCAATCTGGAAACAACTTATGGAGAGATTTCTGAAATTTATGACATTGCTGGAGCTAAGGGCTTATCCCACGAATACATTCAAAGGCTTCCTCAAATTACATTTCGTTCTAGCAATATGATTGAATCTTGCAATGACTTTTGCTGCTCAATTTGCTTGCAGGTGGGGCAAAATTCATATAGAATATATAAATAAATAAATATATTATTATTATTAATTGCAACCTAAATTAGGATCCAAAATGTTTGAAAAGTTGTTGTACCTTTCCATTGAATTGTGAGCTCACAGTTCCTTTTCACATTGGGTGTGTCACATATAAAATAAAAGGGATTGGGAGCTCACAATGGCATAGAGCATATAGATTACAAAAAATTGTGTCTTCTTTGCACACTCTCAAAATATTTTATGTGTGAGACAAGCAATGTGACCTTTTTTGAAATTTTTGCTCCACTTACTAAAGTGTATGCGATGTTTTTGAAAGGTACAAAAACAAGTTAGAATTAGAATACGTCAATAGTTTGATGCCTTCCAACCTAAAAAAGAAAAACATAGTATAATTTCGGGCAAATAATTTTCCTCCTTTTCTATATGGCGTAGGATTAACCAAATGTTGGGTTATGAGTTATCACTATTTACTCACAATTTGATTTTTGATGTTTATATTTGCAGGAACTGAAGGAGGGAGAGTGTGCAAGAGAACTTCCCATCTGTAGGCATTTCTTTCACATGGCCTGCATAGACCAATGGCTAAAGCAACAATCTTCTTGCCCTATGTGCAGAACACGTGTCCATACTGAAAACGTTTAAACTCTAATGGCATATTTATTAATCCGTAATTGGATTAGGAGGAACTGAATTGAGGAGAAATTGGACTGAGGATAATTAGATTTTGGATTCCTATTGAAGTTGTTTACTAAACCATATGAAGTGAGGAGAGTTAGATTCCAAATTCCTCTTTAAAAATTGCAATTTAATTATTAGCTTCAACTCGTAAAATTGCAAGAGCAAGTAGTTAATTATTTTGTAACGCTAATTAAAGCGCACGAATTTTGTACATGTATATTACCTTAGTGAAGATTTTTGTTATCATACATACATGCATGAATGATTCTTCGTTCCTAATATATTTGCCTATAATAAAAACACAATTACATACTAAACACATTTTCAATACAATTTTTCATATTTCTATTTGGAAATAGCAAAGTTAGTACACTTAGGGCTTGTTTGTTACACAAGATTATCTTGGCATGAACTATGCTTAGGGACTATCTTTACTTGGCTTGGTTTAAGTTGAATAACACTTATCCTGCGTTTGGTGTATGCTTGGACTAGGACTAGATTTTTTTATTTTTCCAAAAATATCTATATATATGTATACATGTATAAATACATATATTGTGTACGTGTATATATGTATTTTATAATATATATGTATATATAATATATACAACATATATGTGCATATACATGTATATATGTATATTATAATATTATATATATATATGCATATTATGGGTATGTTATAATAATAATAATATGCATGTATATACGTGTATATATGTATATTATAATATATATATATATATATACATATATAATACAACCTTGACTAAAGAAAAATTTATTAATGGACTACCTAATTTATTTGCCCATAAAATACGCACAGTTCTAAGCAATGAATTAGGTCATATAGATTATGATAATTTAACATATGGTAACATAATTAGTACAATTAATCAAGAAGGTATGAAAATGTGTATTGATATGAAAATTAATCGGCAAATACAATCTAAGAAAAAATTTGCCAAATATGAATTGGGTAATTTTTGTGAGCAATATGGTCTGTCCATTCCTCCCTCCAAACAACATAAATACAAATACAGCTCTCCTAGATATATTAGAAAGAACCGTCATTATAAGTGTAAAAAATTCCCATACGAAAATGAGTTTTATAAAAAAGGGAAGTCCAACTCTAAGAAAAGATGGTCCAAAAAGCCAAAAGATAAGAAAGGCATAGACAAAAGTAAAATCAGATGCTATAAATGTCAAAAGTTTGGCCACTATGCTAATAAGTGTAAAGTAAAGGATGTTATTAGACAACTACAAATCACAGACGAAGAAAGAGCCAATTTGATTAAAGTCCTTGAACTAAGAAATTCTGAGTCTAGTGAAGATCTAACCATGGTAAGTAACCCTGAGTCATCCCCTTATGAGTCCTCTGATTCCCAGCCAAGTTCGCCAAATATCCAATTAGGTTGTAAAGATAAATGTTGCAATACTCTTAAGTCTATTTCTGTTTTGACTAAGCAAGAAGAACAAGAAGAATTATTAATAGAATTGATTAGCAAAGTAGAACATCCTGAGCTGAAATCTGAATACTTGAAAAAACTAAAAAAAATTATGACCCAAGAAAATAGCATAAGCCAGTCCCCTTCTTCTACTATAAGTCTTAATACAACCTTAGAAAGATTCCATAAGAAAAAAGAAATTTCTTTACAAGATTTACAAGCTGAGGTTAAATTTATAAAAAAGGAAATAATTGAGTTAAAACAATTAAGTCATAAGTTGCAAACTGAGAATTATGATATTCGACAGAACCTGAATTTCTTCCTAGAAAAAGAGTCCCCAAAGACTGATAGTCAACCAGGTAGCCCAGCCCATTATGAAGAAAATGAAAAAAATGATCAAGCCATTAATTTAATTAATCATGCTCCCTTTAGAAAATGGTATTCCAAAGTCACTATAATTGTTGAGGATTTTGAAATTAATACTATTGCCTTATTCGATTCCGGAGCCGATCTTAACTGCATAAAAGAAGGATTAATCCCTACAAAGTATTATATGAAATATAAGGAATCACTCAGTATTGCTTCTGGAAAATTATTACAATTAAAATATGAAATCCCAAAAGCCCATGTTTGCCAGAATAAAGTCTGTTTTAAAACTTCGTTTGTCTTAATAAAAAACATAACTGATAAAGTCATTTTAGGATTGCCTTTCATAAGCCTTCTTTATCCCCTTCAAGTTGAATTTGATGGAGTAGTTTCCAGTTACTTAGGAGAAAAGGTTAAGTTTGAGTTCCTCAACCGGTCAGAATTATATAATTTAAAAATTTTGAATAAAAGTATAATTGCTAAAACTGCTTCGATAATTCAAGATAAGACTAACCACATTTGCCATCTACAGGAAGAAGTAAACACCAAAAGAATTGAGTCTCAATTGAGTAATTTTTCTTTGCAAATACAAATCAAAAATTTTGAGAAAACGTTGATTGATGAAATATGTTCTGATTTACCTACTGCATTCTGGCATAGAAAGCATCATGTAGTAAAATTGCCTTACATAAAGAATTTCTCCGAGAAAAATATACCTACTAAAGCCCGTCCAATACAAATGAGCCAAGAAATTGTAGAATATTGCAAAACTGAAATTAATGAGTTATTACAAAAAGGCATAATTAGGAAAAGTAAGTCTCATTGGTCTTGCCCTGCTTTTTATGTACAGAAAAATGCTAAGATAGAACGAGGATCACCACGATTAGTTATTAATTACAAACCTCTAAATACTGTTCTAGAATGGATTCGATATCCTATCCCTAATAAAAGAGACCTGATCAATCACTTAAGCAGTGCTATCATCTTTTCTAAATTTGATCTAAAAAGTGGCTTATGGCAAATACAAATTGACGAATCTGATAGATATAAGACTGCTTTTGTTACTCCTTTTGGTCATTATGAGTGGAATGTTATGCCATTTGGACTTAAGAATGCGCCCAGTGAATTTCAAAATATAATGAATGAGATTTTTAATCCTTACAGTCATTTTTCTATTGTTTACATTGATGATGTTCTTATCTTCTCTAAATCTATGGGACAACATTGGAAACACTTGCATAAATTTCTACAAATTGTAAAAACTAATGGATTAGTTGTCTCTGCTAAAAAGATTAAATTATTTCAAACTCATATTAGATTCCTTGGTTACAATATTAGCCAATCACAAATAAGTCCAATCGATCGAGCCATACAATTTGCAGACAAATTCCCTGACCAAATAACTGATAAAAACCAACTACAAAGGTTTTTAGGATCTCTTAATTATGTTTCTGATTTTTACAAAAACCTGAGAAGTCAGTGTAAGCCTTTGTATGATAGATTACAGAATAATCCTCTCCCCTGGTCTTCTGTTCATACTGAGATTGTTAAACAAATCAAGAGTCATCTCAAAACTCTCTCTTGCCTTGGCATCCCCACTATAAATTCTTTTAAAATTGTCGAAACAAATGCTTTTGAGATAGGATATGGTGGAATCCTTAAGCAAAAAACTGAGTCCATTCCTTCTGAGCAAATCGTTCGTTTTCATTCTAGTATTTGGACTAAGTCACAATCTAACTATAGTACTATTAAAAAAGAGATATTAGCTATAGTATTATGCATTACTAAATTTCAAGATGATCTTTTAAATCAAAATTTTTTAGTCCGGGTCGATTGCAAATCAACTAAGCATGTTTTAGAAAAAGATGTCCAAAATATTGCATCAAAACAAATCTTTGCACGATGGCAAGCTCTTTTAAGCATATTTGATTTTGATATTGAATATCTAAAAGGCAGTGAGAATTATGTTCCTGATTTTCTTACTAGAGAGTTTTTACAGGGTACACAATGGCCAGCATAAAAGAAAAAGATAAGTACAAAGAAAGCTACAACCCATCTCCTCAATTACCCAGAATCCTCCCTGCATCCCTGAGCCAAAAACCGATCAAAACTGAGCCTAGCCCTTCCTCCTTTCCTAAAACTGAATCTACAATTACCCCTTACCCTGGTCTTTCTCCCATTCCACTCGTCAATCGTTACAGCCCCCTAGGATCTACATTAAGCCAAATAAGACCTAATTACCAGTCTGCATTAACCTCTAGCTATGATCCCTTCCAATTACCCCCAACTGCAACCCCTCTTTCCTCCCCTTCTTACCACCCTAAGACATCTCCTTATGTCTATAAGAGTACAGCTAATCTTTTTATTATTGAACCTCATGTTCCTGTATCTTTGAGCCCCATCATGATTGCCCAAAACCATTTTCCACCAGGTTTTCATTATCTTCCCCATAGTCCGTACAAATCTCTTAAGTTATATCGAGAAATACTCCATGAAACCAAATATGTTGATATTAAGCCTATCCGTGATAAAACATACCCCCATAAAATCATCTACCATTCCCTTTACATTTACTAAGTCCTAAGTCAGAAAAGCTGGGGATCACATCCCTATGAACTCCGAACCCTTCCATCCAAATTACAATATAATTATGCTGATTACGTTGAGTCATGGTATTACATTTTCCTACATCAAACTCCTGATTTTACCCATTCCTGGTTCATCAATTTTGACAGCAAGTTTCGCTGTGAACTTCCTTACTGGTTCCTTCACTGGTGGGATACACATAGTCCTAAATCAGATATTATTCCTCTTCAGATCACTGAATTAATTACATATTTCTCTACAAAAGTTAAAATTCCTGAGCGTGATTTATTTTTTCCAATCCCTCAAATTTTCTTTACCCGTTATAAGATTCCCTGGATTATGAAATGGTCTTACAATGTCAATTGGGAAACCAGGATTTTTTCCCGACAGTTTTTCGTTAAGTGGTGGGATCGTTTTGAAATCCACCGTATTTCTGAATCAGTGTATCGAGATTTTCCCCAAACTACATTTCCTAAGCATGAACCTGAGCCTACTTCTCCTCATTCTTCCCAGACTACCCTCTCTGTTGAAGGTATATCTAAAACAGAATTACAAGATATGGCCAAGCAACTTCTACTCCAAGCCTCCCAAATGCAAGATGATGAAGACAATGAGTCCCAATCCTCCTCGAGCTGTCAACCTCGCCAACAGAGTCCGAGCCTTGATCGCCCCATGAGATGGTCTGACTATCCCCATAGTCAAGACCCCAATGATGCATACGCCACCTATGAGCTCAATTCAGACTGAGATTCCCTATCATCATAACTGAAGTAAAGCAGCAGACAAAATTGAAAGTTGAATCAGTAAAAGCAGATTCCCCTGAAGTAAAAGCATAAAGAGCTTGAGTAAAAGCAGATTCCTGAGTAAAAGCAGATTCCCCTGAAGTAAAAGCATAAAGAGCCTGAGTAAAAGCACAATCAGCCCAGTCAAAAGCCATACAGTTCCTTGCTCGTGATCATGAGAAAGCTACCTGAGTTACTTTACTAGAGTTACTTTTAGGTTTAGATTTTATCTATTTAAGAGAGCTTTTGCATCATTTGCAATCAGAATGAAAAAGTTTAGTTTCCTAGTTTCAAATTGTTCTATCAGAAACAATGATCTGAAGAGCAACTAAGTGTGAGCGACGCCAGGAACTATTCTTGTAAGCCAACATTCTCAGAAGCTTATGTTTCAATAAAATATTTTGAGTATTTTCCAAAATATCATTATGTTTATACATTCCATATTTGTTTTTTCATTAATAAGATTCATGCATAAATTACGTCTTTTTTATTATGTCTATTTTATTACTGTCTATACTCATCCCTTCTGGTTCTCAACCTGTGCATAAATTACGTCTTTTTTATTATGTCTGTTTTATTACTGTCTATACTCATCCTTCTGGTTCTCAACCTTATTTGGTATCATAGCCGTAAGAGTTGTGAGAGTTTGAGTCTAAGTTGCAACTCATCCAACCCAAGTGGCTGGTTTAGGATTTCTGAGTTGAAGTTTTTAGTTTCTCCTTTCTTTCTTTTATTCTTCAAGGTACTTTTTGGTTTTCTCCCTTAAGGTCTGACCCGTGAGTCCTTTTTCCAAACGATAAGTCCTAGAGTTTGGCACGAGCAGTGGGCATGAGACAGAGAGCTAGGGAGAGTACCGATAGGTTTCTTGTAGGATAATTAGTAGAGTTAAGAAGTAACTATTTATCTTCTTCTTCATTCTTCCCATCCATACACTTGAGCAATATGAGTCGCCTCTTTAGAACAAATTCTTGTAGTTCAAGCAACTCTAGAACCTTCATAGGACGTATGCCTGAAATTGTAAATGAAGAACAATTTGAATATAATTCTAATAATGATAATGAACAATTAGATTTTAGAGATTGGAAGATACCTAAAATCCCTAGTCAAAATATTTATAAGAAAAAATGGTCTTTATCTGCATTCAATTCAACTACACATGTTAAAACTGTGGAACAAGTTTATGCTTTAAGTAAAGAACATGAGTCTTGTCAATTACTTAATTTAGATTCTATTAAAAAACATAAGCATGATGGTAATAATTTTTTGCATATTGGCCTTGTTCAGGTTGCTGTTAAGCCATTAACTAGATTAGGATTACAAGCTTCCATTCTGGCGGAGACTCAGGTTTAGGTTGATTGACTGTATGGGGTAAGGTTCCATAACAAGGTTGATTAACTTGGGCTTTTTTCCTTAAAGAATGTAATTTGAGGTCTATCAAATCTCTTTCTTGGGTAGAGGAAGAGGTTGCAAATGAATGTCTAGCTGGCTCATGTCTTTTAGATGGGCTTGGTGTAGGTACCTGTTGTAATTTGATTGTGGACTTAGGTTCATTACCGAAGTTAATTTTGACTGTACCATCTAAGTATTGTTGAATATAATCTAAATTATTCAGACTACGCTGGATAGGGGCAGGTTGAGTTTCAGTGACTAGTGTCCAATCTTTAGGTAGACTAATTTTGGACCATTTAACAGTATGTGGGATTCTTATATTAGCATCAGGCATACAACTCTGTATGAGGAGTGTCTGGTCTTTAGGGCTTTTATTTAAAGCTTGAAAATTCATATTTGTACTTATAACCTTGTAATAAATTCTGTAAACTAATGCTAAGGGTTGGGTACCTGGAAGGACATTATAACCGGAGGTCTTAATATTTAAGGTTAGGGTTTTAAGGATATGAGGGTCATTTAGGCTGACAGTGAAATCAGGATGACAATCAAAATGTACTGGACCATTACATAAACTAGACTCAATCATTCCAAGTACACTATCATTAAATTCAGTAAATCTTGCATCACGTATGTTATATATGTATATTATAATATATTTACATATATTATACATTTATAATGTATATGTGTATATACGTGTGTATATTATATTATAATACATACATGGATATAATATATGTGTATCACATGTATGTATATATATCGATGTATTATAATATACAATATATATTACATATATACATGTATGCTATTATTATAATATTAATAGTAATATATGTTATTATTATTATTACAATATAATATATGCATCTTATACATTTGTGAGCATGGACCAGTTAATTCTTCATTTCTACATGAGTTTAGCAATCTCTTCTAAGACTAGGATTAGATAAAACAAACTTAGTACTAAATTTAGTCTCAACCAAGTATGTGTAACAAATGGCTCCTTAGGAATTCAAAAGACGTAATTATGACACTGGCGATATTAATCTAAACTACGAGAATGAGATGCAGAATAAGAAGTACATCCGCTCTAACCAATTTGGCTAAGCCCATGTCTATGCACAACAAACCTAAGAACATTTTAAGTTCCAAGGGAGCTTCTACAATGAGGAGTTAAAGTGAGGAGGTTATTTGAGGAGACCGATCCGACCGTCAAAACATTTAAAATATTTAAGTCCCATGATTTCTTTACATTTGTTGATGGTGAGATTTGACCTCCTCAAATAACCTCCTCACTTTAAGCCCTCATTATAAGTGCAATACATGGGCTTTACAAATTGGTTAGGTTTGTTAACGTAATCAGCATAAATCAATGTTCAATAAGTAATGGAACATTGATTTAAGTCCAATAAGATGTTATAAGTGCAATACAAAATTGATTTTCTGCACAGTTGGCCCAAAACTAAAGCCCAATAATAAAAATGAAGAAAAAGCCCAGAGAAAATAGAGATTCAGTATAGAACAGACCCAAAAAAACAAGAACATGTATGCGAGTGACTGAGTCGCACCATTCACCAACCATCGGCAGTCACAAGAAGTCAGCAGAGACCAAGTGAGACGACACAGAGCGAGCAAGAGAGAGACATAGCGATGGCTTGGAGTGCTGCGAGGAGCTTACACTTGCCGACAATCGACTTGGGCGCATTGCGCACCCGGACTCCGTTAGCCGTGGGCGTGGGATTTGCTTCGGCGGCAGGCTCCACTTTTTGGCGATCCTCGGCTTCATCGAAGCCCTCTTCGCGCTTCGCTTGCTTAGCCATTTCCACTGACGCTCGTAATCTCCATTTGTTTTTGAAATTTTCTCTCTTTTGATTTTCGTTTACTAATTAGTTTTCTCATTTCGTTTGGTTGCTTGGATTAGAAAGCCGGCCTAGGCTGTTCCTTTGTTTGGTTGTATAAGCTGGTTCTCGCTTATGGAATTTCCTTTTGATGAATTTTAGATAAAAGATTCAAACTTTGCCTATGAATTTAACATGGGTAAGTTTTGTTTGGTTCGATTTTAGGAATCAAGGAAGCTGTTCACACAGACAAGGCCCCAGCTGCATTGGGACCCTATTCTCAGGCCATCAAAGCCAACAACTTTGTCCATGTGTCTGGTGTTCTTGGTCTGATTCCCGAGGTTTGTTTCATGACGTTATGTTTTTCCTCGTCACTTTAATCCATCAATGTTCCCATCCTCGTACCCACATACATCAGATAAAAACTTATGTTTTGTGTTCAAATGCAGACTGGGAAGTTCATATCTGAGAATGTTGAAGATCAGACAGAGCAGGTATTGTTACTGGCTTGTACATGTCTTACTATGTTCTGATGTATTAGGTATAGTTGTGTGTTTTTATTTTATTTTGATTGGATTTGATGTAATCATAAATCTGTTTTGTGCTTTCATTTAAATATTTTTATGGATTTGGTTGGTGATATGATCCTTGATGTTTTTTACTGCTCAAGGGTCTAGCTGTAACTTTTAAACCAATTAACTTTCTGATGATCTAGAAGTGAAAGTTGGAGAATTTGGTGGTTGTGGGATCTTACATTACTGATCAATCCACTTGGTATCTCTGCTGAATTTATAACAGTTACTATCTCAATTGTTCAGAAGTTCAAAAAAATAAAATTTTGATATTTGTTTTTCTGTGCAACATTGCAACCAAAGCTTATACTAATGTTTTTCACAAACCTTCATGAAGGAGAAGTTACATTTCTTATCCTAATTTCTATTTAAGTTAACCTGTTGCGTTATGAACTCATAAGCGAGGTAGTTAGTTATGTTCTTTTGTTTCATCATCTTTGCAATGGAGTATTGATGATGGCATTGGTTGTCTGACTGTTTCTGACAGATTTGGGCTTATGAAACTATTGCAGGTTCTAAAAAATATGGGGGAAATACTGAAAGCAAGTGGCGCCAACTATTCTTCTGTGGTTAAAACAACAATTCTGTATGGATCCATTTTGTCTTTGCTCAATTTTGATTTTTAATTTTATTGTTGGAGATGCAATTTGTTCTTTCTTATGTTCATGCAGGTTGGCTGACTTGAAAGACTTCAAGAAAGTCAATGAGATCTATGCTAAATGTGAGTTTTATGGAGATATAACTTTGATGCCGAAGATTGAATTTTCAATTTGTGGCATGCAAAATATGTATATAGCACAAGGTCTTCCAACTTTGCAGGTCATGTTTCATCTATCTGCCAAAACTATAAGGGTATCTTGGTATTCATAGGACTTCCATTATGTCTTACAAAAAAGAGACTTGGATAGAATGCAATTGACTTTAACACTCCAATTTTGGATGTTATATAGCAAATCTCCTCCTTTGCATATCTACGATTAAAATACATGCTAAAGTTTGCACATGATTACTCTGTCTAATTTATAGTCTAGAACACTTGAAGCATGACTTTTGGTTGGCGGTGACACAATCCTTTATTTTGCTCAACTGGTCTTTGAGTCTTTCATTATAAAGTTATGTGAAAGATGCCGGTGACAACCATTGTACTTATTCATTCAACTTGTCTTACATGGTTTTGTTTTGCAGATTTTCCGTCACCAGCCCCAGCTCGTTCAACATTTCAGGTAGCGGCATTGCCGTTGGATGCCAAGATTGAAATTGAGTGCATTGCAGCACTGTAACCTCCTAAATATAAAATTTCTTAGCAGAAACTTAGATAATAATGAAGGAGGTGGCATCTTTGAACGTTGAGTTTGACTTGTTTATTTCCACCCCTTACACATTGTTGTTATTGTAACATCGTTTCTGTAAAAGCACATCTTAGTATTTTGATATTAAGATGGAACTTTTCACCCTGTCAAATGTACTGCTAATATTAGGTGGTTTTTCTATTGTACTCGCAGTGTGACAGTGGCTATTTTGTGATGATGCATTTGTCTTGCATAAGCTTGATTGACACCTAAGAATCACCTTCAATAATAATGTCTATCGATCCTTTTGTTGTTAAATTGTATCGATTCTCAACCCCTCCAATCAAATTACTTGCTCTTACTTTCGGAGTTGCATAAGTTATTTACATTTAATAAATTGTGTACCTTACGAGTTTGAATTATCTGATAAAACATGGTTAATTTGAAAGCCTTAAAACTGTTTAGGTTAGGTCATCTCCATCCATAAAGGACTAAACTTAAATTTTCCCATTTCAAAATATAACTACTCATGTATTACCTGGACTCAAATAGTTTTTTCTCCAACAGCCAGGGAGTCCTTTTAAAAAAAAATTAAAAATATAGTGCGCCCGCGCGGCTATACTCTGTGTTTTTTAATTTTAATCTTTCAAAATAGTATAGCCATGCAGCTATGCTTTTTCCACACGGCGCCCACCCCCTAAGAAAGCAAAGATGAAACTTGTTCCAATTCCAAGCAGCATACCATGCTCTTCTTGAAAAGCAATACCTGGTGGAATCAGCATGAACCTTATTGGTAGGTTCACGTTTTTTCGAAGAACTCGGTTTAGGGTTGTTTAGGTGCAATTTAGTAATGGGAATGGGAGTATTCCGGAGGTAAAGAATTTATGGAACAAAAGTTTATTCCTATGTTATGATTCTTCCTTCTCTGTTGGGGCATCAGACTACTCTGGATGTAAGGCATCAGACTACACTCAGTGATCTTCAAAAGCATAACATGATATATTATTGGTTTCGTATTGTGTGTTACCCTTTTCGGGCTAAGAAGGGCGTTTCTGACTACTAAACAAGCAATCATGCGGCCAAGCAAACCTAATCTGGCCTAGGTTATTTTCAAACCTTGGAACGGTAACATGGATTTTACTAACCTTGGGCCAATTTTTATTCATTTGTTTGCTGCTAGTTTCTATTCGAATTAGGCCAAATGACATTCTTAACCCAATTAGTTGGCTTTAGACATTTGAATCTCTTCATAAGGTATGGTTTCTGTTCTTATCCAAGGTTTTTTTTTTTTTTTTTTTTTTTTTTTTTTTTTTTGTTTTTTTTTTCCTGGAAATCTAAAGATTACATAGAGGACTCCTTAGGAACCCAAGATTCCTAATTTCACAAAGTTTGTGTGTGGTGGTGACACTATTGAATCCTTCCTACATATCATGACAGTAGTTTTGGAGCTTTTTTCTTTATCAAAAAAATTTTCAACAAGAAAAACTATATAGAAAATTACAATGTTTTATTAGAGGTATAAACGCCATGCATATGCATGAAATGAGATTGGGGCTTAATTAAATTGACACACTATAATGTACATTTAACAATTCAAAAGGAAAATTTAAATTTTAAAAAGAATCTTGAACTATATGAACTGTTTTGTTATATAATTACAGTTTTTTCTTGGTACGTATAAAAAAATCTTTGAGATAAAAGAAATAGAGAAAGCTGAGAAAATCTCACTTTCCTTGACATGAAATTATGGATCAGCTTTAACATCAGTTGTTGAACCAAGTCCCACCTGCAACCATGGTGAGGAGCCCCCACTGGTATTAATATCCTCTGATTCATTTAGCTTTGCTAACTTCACTCTATGATCATCCTTATAAATGGATTAGAATGATTGCGGAGAATGTTGGCGATCATCCTAAAGGTCAGCAATCCCAACATATACTCCTGACGTTTTAGCATCCTCCAATATCTTAATTAATTCTAATAAACTAATACAATATCCAATAAGATATCAGCTAATATCATAAACATGAAAGCAGTAGATCTAGTAGAATAGTACTTGTCATGTTTATACCAACGCTCAATGTACATCGTATGTCTTTGACCCAAAAAAACAAAAAAAACATTTTATGTTTAACAAAAAAATGAGTTTGGCATTAAACGACAATCACATGAGTGTTGTGATACATTGGTTTTAGAATTGGTCTGCCTCTAGAGGATTAAGGGCTAGTTTGGCATTGCTGTGCTGTGAAAATAATCGCTGTCAGATTTGCTGTGAGAGAAATCAGCTGTGAGAGAAAGCAGTTTGGTGTTTGGTAAATTTTTTGTTAAAAGTGTTGTTGGTATTGATTTTACGCATAATCAAAAAATGATTGCCGCATAATCATTAAACCCAGCGCCTCTTCGAAACTGATTCCTGCATAATCAGAAAATGAAAGCACCTCATTAGATGCTTTCCCTTATAGCTTTCTCTCATAGCAATTTTTAACAATAAGTGGTTTTCTCACAGTTTACCAAACGGGTTGGGCTTCTCAAAATTTTTAAAAAATCACTTATCACCCCAAATAAGCAATGCCAAACTAGCACTAAGAGAAAATTTTCGCAATGCCTAAGTATAAAGCATGTTTTACTGAGGCACCACTTGTATTTTCTTTTTCATTTTTATTAAATATAATCTTATTAGCCCCACTTGTTTTTTTTTTTTTTTTTTTTTTTCGTTTTTCACGTTTATGTATATCTTGGTAATGTCTATAATTTTCGTTAATTTTTATTTTATTTTATATATTTGTGTGCTTATAAATTGTTTTGAACTTTTTTTCTTGGAGGTTCCATTTGTAATTAAGGTTTGCTTTACTTTGTATTTTTATGTTTGAGTTATAGTTATATCCTAAAATTTTGTTTTTTTTTCAATTGTTGTCATATAATTTCGTCCCTATAAAATTAAAATTTTGGATCCGCCATTGTCCATTAAGTAAATAATTTAGATAGCGGGGCCTAAAATCAACAAGGGTAGACCTGGCCAAGAAGCCCGAAACCCCTTATAACCTTCCATAAAGCTATCGTTTGGGAAATACGATCCACACATGCGTTAGGATTGCATATAATACATTATATGCCAAGATTGTTTAGCTAAAAAGTATCGTTAAAATGAGTGTAATAATAGGTTCACTGATAAAACATATATCTAATCGCACATCAATATGGAATCCTTATATGCATGTTGTTGACCGTCGGCATGCACCGAGCCGGTTCGCCCAATAAAAACACGACACGTGGGCCTTGTGCACCGCACCGGCAAAAATGAGCAAATCTCCCTCAGCCTCGGACTCTGAGCTGCCTTAGGAAATTCAAGAGGATGCAAATCAGCCATGTCGATGACAAGACCCCCTCTGGCCACCGACTCGCCTTACCTCATCAAGCGTGCCCACATCCCTTCAAAAGCCAGGTGTAAACCACCCAATTCGCCAACTCACCATATGGGATTGCCGCCATGCGCAACAGGCTACTCTGCCCACGCCTGGCCCCTAGTTGAAGTATAGCAGAGTCATCATGAGCAGAGGACATGGATGAACTCCGACCACCGAGCATATGACAGATTTGATGTGAAGCAAACGGCTCGGCTCTGAGCCGAGGTGGCCGGCTTGTAAATTAATTCATTTGAGTTTCCCCTATAAATTTTTTTTTGGTCGAAGAAAGATGATGATTTCATTACTGAAGAAAGGGAGACTAGTCCAATCAGTAATAAAGCAGCCCATGCAAACAGAAATGCATGAAACAAAGATAACATGCCATAAACTAAACTGATCAAGATTAAAAGAACATGACAGACAGTCCAAAAGCAAGGACGTCTAAAACAATATCTAGACCAGTGGCAACCCACTTAGGAGAGATGAAGGCAGCGAAGGTCGTCCTTGCTTAGAATGTGCACAAGAGAAGTGGGGGGGTCTCTCAACCCAAACTCCCTTACTCATCCTTGATAATGCCAACGACACAAGATTGTTTGCCGCTTGATTGTCAATCTTATTTGTCCAATTCCATGAACACCCCTCAAATCTCCGTTGTTCCTCACGGATGAGGGTAAAGACAGGATAAAGGTTCCATCTCCCTCTACTAATATTCCCTTTGACATACTTAATTAGCTCCAAAGAGTCAGACTCAAAGCATACCTTAGTGAAATTTTGTTCTTTTGCAAATTTGCATCCCTCCAAAAGAGCAACTGCCTCTGCATCCAATGCAGTCTCCACATGGAAAGAGATAGATTTTGCCCCCCTAAAACTCCCTTCAGAGTTGCGGATAATAATGCCAGCCCCCGCACGACAAGAGCCATGATGCCAAGCAGCTTCGACATTGATTTTGGCAAGAGAAGTGGGAGGAGTAATCCACCTAGCTTGTGGAGTTTGACGATTATTCCCTGAAGTGGGATGAGCAATTTTATGCTTCAGTAATAATCACTCGTTCACTTGGTCTGAGATAGACTTGAGAGCCCTTTGGGGATGGGGGTTGCAGTTGTCAAAGACCGCCCTGTTCCTAGTATTCCATATAGTCTAACACGTGAGTGTAATATGATCTAGAACACGGTTTCTCTCCTCCTTGGTGTTAAGGCCCACAGTAACACAATCTCGCAGCCATTGATGCAAAGTAGAGATGCCATGCTTGTCGATTCTATAGTTTAAAATGCCTCCAAACCATATCGGCTCGACCCAAGGACAGAGAAAGCGCATACGCTCAATTGATTCCTCCTCATCATTGCAAATAGGACATAGAGGGGAGGGTCGCAATTTCTTCTTCTGTAAGACGGAGGAGACAGCAATGTGACCATTTAGAGCTTTCCAAAGAAAATGTAGAACCTTTGGTGGGACGTCGGCATGCCAAATCAACTTCCAAACCTTTGAGTCAATCAAGATAGATGGAGATGGCCTTCTCAGGGAGGTTTGTTGATGAGAAGTGTGAATGTTGTGATAGCCAGATCTTACCGAGTACTTTCCGTTCTTCTCGCTCGACCATTTTCGAAGTGATGCAAATGGGGATGCGTTGGATTGCATTAGCCTCCTCATTTGAAATTAAAGGGCGAATTGAGTCCATATTCCATGATCTAGTGTTCCAATCAATTATGGTTTCCACAATAGCGTTTCGGTCAATAGTTGCATCTGGATATGGACGTGATTCCCCTTCCTGGATGTTGGTAATCCATTTATTTGACCAAATTCACGCTTTTGAACCATTCATAATTTGCCATCTTGCTCCATTCAAGATCACCCTTCTACCTTCAATAAGGCCAACCCATGCCCATGAAGCCCTGCTACCTTTTTTGGCCTCAAGAAAATTACAATTCGGATAGTAGTGAGCTTTGATTAGCTGAGCCCAAAGTGATTCAGGTTCGGTGAGTAGCCACTCGCACTGTTGAGCAAGTAAGGCCATATTGAAGTCATGAAAATCATGGAAGCCCATGCCGCCATCATGCTAAGGCAGACCCAAATGCACCCAGCTCACCCAGTGAATCTTCTTTTCCTCATGTTTCTGACCTCACCAAAAATTAGATATCTCATTCTCCATCCTTGTGCAAAAAGTTTTGGGGAATAAGAAAACTCCCATTGGATAAGTCAGAACAGCTTGCACGACAGCTTTGATGAGAACTTCCTTTCCGATTTGGGAGATAAGTGATTGTTTCCATCCACTAATCTTGTGCAATAGCTTTTCCCTTACAAATTGCAAAGCATCTCTCTTTGACCTCCCCCACATTGTTAGGAGGCCCAAGTACTTACCGGGGTCCTCTACAGCAGACATGCCAAAGATGGCCCTTAATTCAGTTCACAGGTTTGCTGGGGTGTTTGGACTGAAGCAAAAGGCTAGACTTCCCAAAGTTGATTTGCTACCCAGACACTTTACAATAGTCATCCAGCAAGCACTTCATGATGTGGCAGTTTTGAGTATTGGCCTTAACAAATAGGAGAGTGTCGTCTGCAAAAAGGAGGTGAGTGATAGTAGGTCCATTCCTTCCAAAACTGAGGCTCTGCAAATAACTAGCTTCACATGTTTTCTTAATCATGAGGGATAAGACCTCACTTACAATCAAAAACAGGTATGGGGAAAGTGGATCTCCCTGTCAAATGCCCCTTGTTGGTGTAAAGCTATTCCCCTGCTCCCCATTGAGAATAATAGAAAACTGAATAGTCCGAACAAGATTCATCGCAAAGGTCACCCATCTTGCATCGAAATCCATCTTAAGCATGACTTGTTCAAGGAAAGGCCATTCCACTCAGTCAAAAGCCTTGTTCATGTCAAGCTTGATACCTAAGTCATACCTTCTTGTTGTATTTCTCAGTTTCAAAATGTGGAAGGCCTCATGAGCGATTAAGATATTCTCCTGGATTTGATGATTGGGGACAAACCCATTCTGAGCAGGAGATATAATTTGTGGCAGAAACACCTTCAATCTATTAGCCATGACTTTTGAAATTATTTTGAAAGAGAAATTACATAGACTAATCGGGCGAAAGTGGGAGACACCCTCAAGATTTGGAATTTTAGGAATTAACACAAGATTGGTGTTATTCAAGGATGATGGGCTTCGATTGTTGACAAAGAAATCTTCCATAATACCACGAATTTCATTGTGGATTATATCCCAATATTTGTGGTAGAAAACACCTTGATATCCATCGGGCCAGGCGCCTTTAATCCCCCCATCTGCATTATAGCCTCTTTTATTTCCTCAACATTAATTTCCTGCAACAAGTTGTCATTAGTAGCTTGGGTAACCACACAGTTAAGGATATCATCGTTATTGCGTCGTGCCTCAGTAGTGAACAAAGTTTTGAAATGCTCCTCAATCACCCTTCTCTGCTCCATTTTTGGAGTGTGGTAATGCAATGTTGAAGCTTAGTATGCCACTTGTGAAACCAAGAGCCATGAACCTGTTTGTCCTAAGCTCTTTCTATAATATGCTTTGTCTCCTCCACTTCTTCCTAATAAGCTTCAAACTTGAAATGCCCTCTCTGCTTTTTGTGGTGCCTGACCGTTTCCATAACTAGTGGATTATGATCTGATCTAATGGCAGGATAGTGAGTAATGGATGCGTTTGGACAAACTTCTTGCCATTGCAAATTCCCCAGAACTCTATCCAATCTTTCTTGAATGAAGAGACCATTTTGCCTATGTGCTCTCCAAGTAAATCTCGAACCCTGATACCCCATGTCAAAGAGATTTGCCTTCTCCATGAAGTTGTGTAGATACCGAGATATGTGTGAGGGGTGCACAGCCCCTCCATGCTTTTCAAACAACTAAAGAATTTCATTGAAGTCACCTCCGCAAAATCAAGGTAAACTAGTAGGCCTCAACACGTCATCAAAAAGGTGCCAACTTTCATCTTTCTCTTCTCTGTAAGGAGATTCGTAGACCCAAGAAGCCCTATATTTCACTCCCTTCTGCTTATCAATGATAAAAGTGTCAATAAAATTCTTTGAGAAACCCTTCACCTCAAATTCGATGCTCTCATCCCACCATACACATAAACCTCCAGCACTGCCAACTGGGGGAATACAAAATTTCTTCTGAAAACCACAACTACACTTCAATCTTTCAATTATGCTGTTTTTTGATTTTGTTTCCAGTAAAAAAACAATAATGGGCCGGAATTTATGAACCAAACCCCTGAGGGTACGAACTATCAAGTCCGGCCCAAGGCCTTAACAATTCCAGAGAATGTAGCCCATGGTTGACATGCGGTTGTTGAAGGCCAGCCGCCACCGCCCCGATTTTCCTCGCTCGTTCTTTGGTCATTTGTTTTTGTTTGAACCTGTGCCCAATCATCAACTTGTATAATACTAACTTCAATGAGGTTTGCATTCTCAAATAGACCTCGAGTTCTACCTCTCACTCCCTTAGGCTTGTTGCTTTCACCTTGTGTTGTCTTCTTTGCCTTGATAAACCTCCTTCTTTGTGACCCTTCAACCCGCTTCTTCCCCTTCCCAATAGTTGCCTCTTTTGTTATATCTTCAACTTCTTCTAGGTTTAAAGTATGCCCATGCCCATGTTTCTACTTTTTCCCTATAGATTCCAAGTTACAAGTCCTTTCCATCTCTGGGTTCCGTTTTAACCCCAGGCTATGGAAGGTTGTATCCACATGTGAAATAATTCTTGTTGAGGCAAGGTTGATCTTAGGACCAAATAGGTTTGGAATATAAGGCTCCACCTGCACAGGATATCCAATAAGCCCAAGATCTAACCTAGAAGATCTTTCTTTTGGGCTAGCTCTGGTCCAATTAGTAATAAGTGTGTTGCTCCTAGTCATGTGACCCCCATCCCATTCCAACTCTTTCGCATCTGACCTGGGGTTCACCCTATTGTGGGGCCAAGAGAAACCAGTCTCTACATTTAGTTCCTCCAGGATTATCGTATTTCCATCCCCAAGATTTTCGTTCTGTGCAGCTTGCCTTGGATACAGCTGATGTGCATGTCTTGGTTCCTGTGTTGCCTGGCACACAGACGAAACCTCCAAAGTTCGATTGCGCTCGTACTGCCCATTTGCCCCTATCTGATCACTGGTCATCTTGCCGAATCTAGGCTGGCTCTGACACATGTGTGTTAGAATTGTAGGGGAAAAAAATGTGATTTTATTAGATTGAAGTAGAATAGTACATAGCTTGTGTAGGCTAATTGGCCTTCTACACTTAGCATATTGGCTTATTGGCCACTACACTTGATTTAGATTAGTTTTGGGCTATTTGGCCCTTACACTTTGATTGGTGAGCTTATTGGCTCTCAACATAACTTTCTTTGGGTAGCTCTTGGCTCCCATATAGATTGGGAGTTGATTGGTTCACTCCATCAAACTTGTAAGCTACATGCCTATTTATAGGCTAAGTGTTGCCGCCATTGCCCAAGTCAGTGGACTTGGCTTCTTCTCTCACTACTTTATAATATTATTACTTTATTACAAGATTTTTATTAGGACATTTCTAGAGTTTACAATAATCATCTCTTAAAACTTGACTTTGTCAAAGTTAGTGAACTTTCTTGAGCTTTCTAATTTCTTCTAGATTTTTCTATATTCTTCAAGTGTGTATTAAATTTAACAATGTGGAAGCTACCCTCCTCCCCTGCTTCGTGAGACACACGCTCGATCTCGCTTTCGTTGTGTTGTTGCCGGGCTATGGTGGCTAGCCGTCTTATTCTTGGCATTCTAGTTGGACGTTTGGGAACATAGAATTCCCTGATGATTTTAGCTCTGGTCCACTCTTCATACACCGATGGTTCCTCGAATATGCAAGCGTCCATAACATGCCCAGTTCAACTGCACCTATAACAGAAATTCGCAAGTCTCTCATACTGATACTCTACCCAAGTCTCCTTTCCATCAATTCTGGGCAGCTAGAACCCAGCAACAAGTGGCAAGTTTGTGTCTACCTCAACTCTTCACTTTCAAGAATCCTCTTGTTCTACCCAGGTCGTCGAACTCTATCACTTTCCCAGCTTTGATCCCCACCTTGATCATATTTTTTTCGTGGCACCAGTTCAGCGAGGATTCCACAAATCTGTATCCAGTGAAATGGTGTAGTTGGGATATTTATTATACGCTTCATAGTTCTTTTCAATTAATGTTGTTTGTCTTAGGCTGTTGTAATCCATACCTATAGGAGTGAAACAGCAGCAAAGAAAACCTGGGGCTGGGGGCAAGTGTGTATTAAAGGAAAAGCATATTTGAAGAGAAGGAAACAGAGATGGAGTAAATACTGAGAGTGAAGTATGTCAGAGACCTACCCAGCTCGTCGTAGTCACCAAATCTCCAACAAATTTGCAATGAGAGTTATGGTTTGGTGGGGATTGAGAAATGGTGGTGGTTGGCGGTGGTTGATAGTCACCAGTAATAGTACGGTGAAGTAAACTCCCACAAAGGGGAGGGAGACTCTCACGAGAGGAGAGAGATTTGCGTTCCAATCTTTCTATTGAGTTTCTCCCCTACAAATAGAGCATAAGTTTTATGTAGAGACACGACTTGGACCCCTTCAATAAAAAGAGAAAAATCTTGTTCCTTCTTGGCAACCCATAACTCATTTCCATTAAACACCTCCTCTCTCGGAGTTACGTTTAGATTATCTGTTTCTTTATATGTTAGCCACTGGAATATCTGTGGTTCAAACACATGCACAAGAAGTTCGTACAAAAATTGGGCTACAAAAGACACTGATTATCCGTTTGAAGGACCGTGGCTATAATACTCAATTGTCCATAAAAGTGCGTCCATTTCTATGAAGGAAAAAGGTGCTGTGTAGCAGTCTGGAGGCACATTTTGATGAGTTGTTGTTGGTGTTTAAGATTAAGATAGTATAGGTTTTGGTGTCAATATGGAAGCGATCAATATAGAATCCTTCTAAATGAAAAGGTTAAATCACATTTTTGGTCCTTGTAGTCGAACTCCTTTGTTACTTTGATCTCTATCATTTTAATTTGATTCGTCATTTTGGTCCTCCAACTCTCGCATGTGTTTGAATTTAGTCCTTCGGAACATTTTTCGTTGAGTTTTAGAGGATAATTATATCCAAACTAAACGATTTTACCCCTCAAATAGATGGACAAATTAACTTCAATTTAGTCATTCTGTAACATATTTCGTTGGTTTTTTTAGAGGATAATTGTCTCCAAACTAACGGTTTTACCCCTCAATATATGGGAAAATTGAAAGACGAAAGGACTAAATTGGAACACGTACGAGAAATATATTGAAGTAAATTACTAAATATACAAAAAAAAATTAAAAAAGTGTATGCATACGTGTCAAATTGTAGCACGTGCAAGAAATATATTTAAGCAAAATAACAAATACATCAAATAATAAAGTTTATGCATATGAGTCTAATTGTAATTTCACGGAAGAAACACTCCTTACATATAAAGAACCAAATATTTTTTTAGAAGTACACATACATTTTCTATCATATTCAAAGGTGAAAATCAACTATCCCACAAGAGTTTTGCGTCTCATTCTTCGTTAGAATAATCAAATATGTAAATAGGCGGTAGGAGAGGAGGTGATCAGTTGGCAGCCCAAGGAAAAAACCAAAGTTTTTCTATATGTATGTTTTGTAAGCCACAACTTCATAGTCTAAATAAGGAGAAGGATTCTTTGTGGCTTTTGGTGCATTTTTCTGTTTTTGGTTTCTTCCGGTTTTGTACATTTTCTTGGTTTACTTTGTTTATGATGGGTTGTTTCGGCAGGTTTTTTTGCTTCTTCTTCTTTGCAGTTTATGTTTTCCTTTTCTTGTCGATATAGTATGTTGTTTTACTTGTTTTTGAGAGATTTTCCTTAATTTCTTTGTTATTTGTTTGGGGGTGGTGAAAATTCACCCAACTCGGGCACCTTTCAAAAACACGAGCGGCCGGGCTATTGTCTATTGTGGCTGGAATGTCTTGAGATTTGGAGAATAGACGGTCGGGTATTGAATTGCTAATATACGGTCGGGCTACGTGGCTAAGAGAATAGGCACTTGCATGGCTGGAAGAATGGGTTGGGCAAGCAGCCGAATTTAATGTGAAGAATTCCTAGCGGGCGAGAATTCTTAGCGGGCGAGAATTCTAGCGGGCGGAGAATTCCTAGCAGCCGAGAATTCCTAGCGGCCGAAGTGCTTTCTCAAAAAGGTGGCCGAGGTCTTTTCTTCAAAGGCCATGGTGCCTTCTCAAAAATGCGGCCAAGGTGTTTTCTTCAAAGGCCATGGTGCCTTCTAAAAAATATGGTCGGGCACTTCCCTTTGCAAAAAGTACCCGGGCATATCCTTACAAAAGTGGCCGAATGCTTCCTTCTCAAAAAGTTGGGCCAGGCACTCCTTAAATACCTTGGTCGGCCATTCCTCTTACAAAAAGCTGGGCCGGGGCAAATTTTCTCCTTGCTCACCTTGGAGCCCTCCTCTCAACACTTGGGCAAGCAAAGTCGGGCCAAGGGAGTTGAAGTTCAGCATGAGGTATGTCCGTCGAGTGCCCAATATTCGAATATTTGAGAACTCAAATATAGTCCAATGTATGGCCAAGCCCAACATCCAAATATTTGGAGTTCCCATTCCACCAATTTTGGCGGATGGTCGATGGATGGTAGGCCAACTCTAGAATTTTAAAAACCTAAGGGGCACAAGGTTCCACCAGATGTCAAGATGAAATCTCGTAGGTCAAGGCCCAAGCCACGGATTCACGCCCAAGATTTCCGGAGGTCAGTGTGCATGTGATAGAGGCCTCACAAGGAACCAAATCAAGGAGATTGATGATAGTTCATAATATTCCAAAACAAGAGAGAATCAAGCAATCAGAATATTTCAACCAATGTAATCCCACGGATTCAAAGGGTCTCAAAAGGAAAGATTTTTAAAAGAGTTGGCATTTAGCCATTCAATGGCCAACCCATGGGCTGACGGAAGCCCTATATAAACCTCACCAGACGAAGACATCAGACACACAACATCAGACAAACAAACCTATTTTTCGTCTCGCACTTTTCTTTTCCTAGACTTAGGATTTTACTTTTTATGCACTTAGTGTAGCGAGTTCTTCCTTTTGTTAGTATAAGTTTAAATTCTCGTTCAATTTATATTTTCTTGTAATTTAAATTCAAGTTTATTTCAATTGCTTTACTTTTCATTGTTATCGCATTTCAATTAAGTTTAATTTCAAGTTCATTTTACTTCATTGTTCTTATCGCTTTCATTCCGTTCTTGCTTTATTTATCGCTTTGATTCATTTTATCGTACTTTAATTCTCGTCTTTATGTTATTTATCTTTCGCATTTTACTTTACGCATTTGTCTTTAAATTACATTTAAGTTTAAGCACCTTTACTTTACGCACTTATTCTTTGTTTCATTACGTTTCACCGTCAATCTTCATCTCCACCCACTCCACATCATTTCATCGCTCACATAAAGCCTTGACCCCAAGGTAGTGAAAGAACCTAGGCCGTGAGGAGGTTCCTTGCTAGGCTGAACAATCGTTTGATTAAAGTCAGATCTCGGATGCAACACATCCATCTACTCACATTCCATTCAAGCCCAAATTCGGGGCTTGGTGGTGGCACGCCCCACACTCAAAAAAGAAGAAGGACCAAAAGTTCCTTCCATCGGCCGCCCCGGCCGAAAAGAGAGAAACATTATTGTTGACAGGTTCTGTTGCTGGTGGAGCCACTTGGACATGCAATTTGTAGGGGTGTTCCGGTTTCTTTTTCTTTTCTCTTTTTTTGATACCTCGTGATTAGTTCAGGCCGCGAATCTTTTTTAAGATTATGCTCTTATTCCTGACTTTTTCTCTGCTACTTTCAACTTTTTAGCGTCCTCCAATATCTTAATTAATTCAAATAAACTAATACAATATCCCATTAGATAACCTAATATCATAAACATGAAAGCAAACCTTAGCAGTATAGTTCTTGTTGTTTTTATACCAAGGGTCAATATTTTATAGTCATATACCATTAGTACCATACAATATACATCTTATGCCTACCGAAGAAAATGAGTTTGGCATTTGACTACAGTCACATACATGTTGTGATACATCTTATGCCTACAAAGGACACTGATTATCCGTAACCCTTTTTTTTTAATCAGATTATCCGTGACCCTTGTAGGCATGATATGGATATTACATCCGTCTCTGGTGTATAGTAGCCAAGAATAAACGTCGTTATTGGCTTAGAAATGACAATATTATGTGGCTACTGTTCATTAGACACAGATAATACTCATAGGCACACCTACAACCGTCACTGGTCATTCGAGTCCTTTATTACCCACATCGGCTTGATCTATGTCATTTTTAATTTTGACAATTTGAGTCTTATAGTTATGTTAAGTTAACAGCTAAATCCTACAAATCTAGCATTGTGAAAATAGACGGAATGGTCCGGTGGGATTGCAAACGTTTTATTGAGACAAAAAAGGTATGACATTTGTTGGTTGCATATTGCCATGTCGAGAGTTCCATAAATTAATTAGAATTTTTTTTTGTCAATAAATTAATTAGATTATGTTTTGAACTTGATAGCAACAACAAGTATAAGACTAAAATTGTTAAACTAAATTGACATACCAGAGTGAACAAACGAATTAAACAATATGAGGTATGACATTATTCCTATTCTTATTTTATTTTTTTTCGAAGTTAGGAAGGACAATGAGTATTCATACACAGTCATTATTCTACTCTACTACAATATTCTTAAACAACCACTAACTTAAATACCCTCAATATTTGAGGCATGGCTGTTGGTCGGTGGTGACACCATCCTTTATTGCTCAACTTTGACTCTTTCATTATAAAGTTATGCGAAACATGCTGGTGAAAACCGTTGTACTTATTCATTTAACTTGACTTACATGGTTTTGTTTTGCACACATTTTAGCATTTTAGCATCCTCCAATATCTTAATTCATTCTAATAAAACTAATAAACTAAAACAATATTTCATTAGATATCACCAAATATCATAAATATGAAAGCAGGAAAACAAACTATAGTAGTATAGTACTTGTCATGTTTTATACCAACTCTCAATATTTTATATATAGTCATACCCCACAATATACATATGATATATCTACCGAGGAAAATGAATTTGGCATTGGACAACAATCACATAGATGTTGTGATACATTGGATGGGCATGCCTCTACTTAGATAGATCACAATTGGGGACGATGATATAGGATATTTTTCTTTGGATAGGTGATAAAAGTCATTTAGTCAGGTACGACGTCTTAATTTTTGTTGTTTTTAATCAAACTTTTTGATCATTGTGAAAATTTGATAAACTTCTTTGAGGGTATACACGTGAATGAGGGTTGGTACTTAAGATTAAGAAGTGAGAGATGGCTATGCTTTGGTGCCTAATGAAAGTGATAAGGACAGTATAGGTTAAGTCGTTGGGGATATTTATATACAGTCCTGTTTTCGTAGAATTTGTGTTCCAATGAGTTTGTGGTCACTCACTCTTTAATCTAATTAATTTAGAAGTGTAGAAAAAATTGATTTAAAAATTTTTATAAATATTTATATTATTTTAACTTATCCAAAATATGTTTTCTGAAAGATAAAAAAAGGATATATATAGTTATCGTTAAAAAAATGGGATATATATTTATATTATTTTAAGTTTCGACAAATGAAATGAATTGGAAATCAGTTCAATTTAAGTTTATTTAATTGCAATATATATTTGATGATTCTAACACTAGAGATGGATAGAAAATTACCCCAAATTCTTAACCTATTTTTGGGAATGATATGATCCAAAAATTTATTAAAAAGAAAGATACTGAATCCCCTCCCTTGCACGCCGGCGGTTGATTCATTGGCCGCCAAAGTCCTATTGTTATTATTATTATCATCATCATCCGAGAATACTCGGACTTGGACTTGGAACGTTGCAGTAGTAGCTCTGGACATTGGGTTCTGGAATTTTCACGTCTTTCGACTCATGCCTATACCTGTAGCAAACCGAAATCTCGAGCACAAACACATCCGTGGTGTTACCGTCCGAGATTTTGTTGGCCACATCATCAGCCACGTAAGCATCGAGCGTGGAGAGTTTGAAACTAACTAGTGTTTGGTTTGTGGTGGTTAGAAGCAAGGGACGCAGCGACGTTGCTGCGAGCAGCACACGTTGGTACTTTTCATCTAGCTCCGTAATATGTTGGTAGACGGGACTGTAGTAGAAGAGCGAGGCCTGGAGGCTGTCACAGTAGATGTCCCACTTCTTGTTGGGGTTCATGGCTAGGAGCGTCAGGTTCCACATGGCGCTGAACTCGGAGGGGGTATTGTTGCGTGGGTATTGCAGGGCCGCTCTGAGTGGACTAGGAACTCAGGGTCATACCCTTTTGTATGGGTCAAGAGCGAGGTGAGGGCCAATGGGGCTAGAATGAAATAGGGGACCACGAAACACATGATGCAAAAGAAATCCTCACAGTCGAAGAAGGGTTGTCGTGTAGGCTGATCATTAGAAGCGGCGGAAGCCGGGATTAAGATGTTGGTGGCTGTTTGGACTCCGGTAGTTTTAGTACTAGTATTGCCAACCATGATTTTAGAGATGTTGGTGGCTTCTCGGACTTTGGCTTTGGCTTTGGCTTCCGGTAGTACTAGTACAAATAGTGGCCAGGCAACCATGATTTTAGAGAGATTATTATTCAATATTCATGGGATAATTAGATTTGAATTGGGATGGATTAGAATTAGATTTAGATTGTAACAACCTTAATTATATAATTATCTTTTATGTATATATAATTAGATTTGAAGGGTTATTTTCATCCTTTGGAGAATGACCCAGGCATAACTGGGCCGGAGCCTCGAACACTACAAGTCATTGCTTCTCGATTCAAAATCATCGACCAACAATGCTCTTTTTGGAAGACATATCTGACTAAGGCCAATGCAAGCCTTGCAAGTGGGTCTAATCTAAGTGATGTGGTTAGCACCCATTTTATTCACGCTTTAAATTTGTTATTATAATGTTATTCAAGTCCTAACTCTTCTTAAATAGACTTCAGAAAATAGTGAAAACAAATCAAGTGGTAACAAGACAACCATTCAGGAAATAATGGCAATAAGACAAGAGGGGATGTGAACCATGTCAGATAATAATTCAAGGAAGAGATGAGGAGATAGAGGAGATGGGCACATATGTAAGAAATAATTACTAGAAAACAAGAGGAGATGGCCCAAGTCAGAAAAGAATTCAAGCCATGTGGGATAATGGCCTACAAGTTTTCACTTTAATTGAAATAAAATTAAGTTTGTCGAATTTTTAATTTTTTTTAGGTTAAAATGTTCAAAAAAATAAACCAGTTGAAGTAAATAAAAAAATTAAAGAAAAAAAAAAACAAAAAAAAAAAAAAAAAAAAAAAAAAAAAAAAAAAAAAAAAAAACTATTTTAAAACTATTTAAAATAAGGCTAATGGACTCAAAAAATTTGAGTCTGGAGGGTTGAGGAAAAAAATTATTTGAGTTCAGGCAATACCTGAATAGTTGTATTTTGAAGGGTGAAAATCTAAAGCTGAATATAAGGCTAAAAGCCCAGAGAGGAACTCAATTTCGTGTAAATGCAGCCTCTTGTATTGTAGCTCTATGAAAATTATAGAACAGTGCTTCCAAAAGCCAAAATAATTTTCTTTTCCCTTTCATTCAGCAGTGAACTACACTTGAAAGGAATCAAGCATGGCTTTTAGAATCTTCTGAGAAGCTTGCCATTGCTTGTCACTTGCACTTACCACAAATAATACAACAGTGTTTCCCTTGGCTGTTGCCTTTGCAAGATTGTGAGAACCTGTAAGAGCAAACGGGGTCTCCAGCGCATACTTGTAGTACTGCATACAAAAACAACAGAGGAAAGCTTGCATGAAATTGCTACCAACAGAAAGAATTCATGTTCAGGTAAAGAGAGAGCTTCTTAAGCATACACAAAAACAGGTAAAATCAACATACTACAATGTGATGAGAAAAACATGGAGGAAAAATGATAGAATAAGACAATGACAAGCTGGATGGCCAAGAAAGATTGTACCGTCAGATCGCCGCGCTTTTCAACTGTTGTCTCAAGAAGCTCATCTGGATCATATGTGTTTCCTGTAACAAAAGGGCCAAGAGAAGCAATCACCTTCTCAGGGTTGCCAATATCTTCAATTGTTGCATTGGGTTTATTCGTCAGGCGTATCAAAGGTGAAGCCACAACCTGAAGTTTTCCCTGTTTTTCGTCTTCAAATTTTACCTCCACCCAGGGCTCTGCACACTTTGGCTGGCAGTAATTACCAGATAAAATGTTCGCTACACGCATCTGTTTCCAGGTTGGAGGAATAATGAACTGGTAAGGCTGCACATTTCCTGCAAAGAGCAGAGTTTCTAGTATCATCAAAAGAGATAAAATTTCAACTAAGAAATGAGTTGATGCTATTAATTTTCTCTTATACTTGTAGGCAAATTAGAATTTGATCCAGATAAATGCAACAAGAGCATTGACCAATAACAAACCCAAAATCCTAAAATCTGCGCCGGGAACTTCGGAGGGTAAAAATGAAACTACAAACTCAGAAAACTACCCACGGAAAAGCAACTTTGCATGGACAAAACAAACATCATTTGTACTCCAGCTTCAAGAAACAGCAGCTCTCTAAAGTGTTCCTTTTTTTTGGAAAAGAGTTATGTATATTCTATTAGTATATATGTATCTTGAAGCTCACAACCATCCAGATTTCAAACCAATTGTTCTCTGTAAAATGGCTAGCTAGCACAAACAGAAACGATAAAGAACAATCATTTCAGCATTTTGATATTCCTCTGAGAGTCCTACCTCTTATTTTCTGCTCGGATGCTAATGTACTTCGTCTGTCATTTTCTAGAAAATTGAGGCACTCTTCTTAGTCTTCTAAAGTCCAGTCCTGAAACTCAACAGTTCTTCCTCCTCCTTTATTGTCGGCTCCTGAACACTCTCCTTACCACTTTTTCTTCATGGAGGCTAGAAGATTGATTGACCTGGTGAGTAGAGAAAGCATTTCTTCACAGCTGAAATCTTCATGCTCAGGCTACAAGATTGCAGGTCACTCAATCCTCACCTCTCCTTACCACTATGTCATTGTCGACATCAATTTTGTCTATAAATAGACAAGTACCCCATCCAAAGGAACTAGCTATTTCTGCACAATCTGAATATATTCTGTGTCCATTTTATTACAATTTCTAGTCAAGGCTCAGACTTGGCTTGTTCTTCAACTCAAATCATCCCTCAAGTTATGAAGCAGACATTAATTCTCTTGTACCTTTCGTGATACCTTCTAACATTCTTCTCTTTTTCATCCAGAGTAATAGTGTCACTTATCTAGTTTTCTCTCAGGTTAGATTGGATCCATTTAACTTCCTATGACCACAGTAAGCTAAACTCCTCCTTCACTTTACATTTCAAACAGGATTATATATTTGAGAAATCAAACCGTAGAAAACTTTCATTCGGCGATTCAGAAGAGCTGGAGATTTTTGCTCCTAAAGCAAAACATACCTCAAATGCGGTATTGCAGATTCTAAGTGAGTCTTTAGCCTCCACTGAAGAAGTCTTAACAAAGAACTAGCTTCTCACACACACATACTCGATGTACAGATTGTAATACCATCACCTCAGTACAGAGAGGCCAGGATTGATTGACCTGCAAAGCTTTCTGATACTTTCCTATCGTTACTCAAACAAGGAGCAAAAAAGCACCAAAGAATGCAAGTAGATATACACCCACACAAACATACTACACCTTCAAACAAAACCAAAACAAAATGTTTCTAATTCCTAGAAAAAATAAAAAATCACAAACCCCACTTCTGATACAGTCTCTTATTTGTATAAGATTCCTGGACACTCTTCAAAACCAAACATAGAAAATCTTCCTGTAATTGCATGATGCTCTCTCTGCTTCTCAGTAAAAACCATGATTATGATTTTGGAATCTCTTTAATACCAGACTCCATGATGGTACAAAATGAAGCTCGAATGCTCTAGATTATGAACTAACCAACTGTAACGGCATATCCTATCCCAATCAAACAACTGACTCATCACATACTTACATTCCAGAAAGAAGATTTGTCCAGGTTCTTCTTCTTGAGAAACCACATTTAGTCTTTCGGTGTAGAGAAGTAACGTAGCGCAGGCTGCTGGTTTTTCCACAACTAGCAGACTTATCTTTCATAATATCTCTGTCATTGATAGCTAAGGCAGTGATATAATAACTGGATCGTTTAGCAAGGAATTGCACGATTTGCTACATCATTTCCTAGTCCTAGACACCCTCAAGCCTACTTCCAAATTTAGTCAGAAACTTGTTAACTAACCCAAATTCCTTTTTCTTTTTCTTCTTGTTCATTATATATAATTAAGCAGCAATCAAAATGTAGGTTCAGTGGAGCAAAATTAAAGAAGACATGAGTGAATGATTAAAGAAATAAATAAATAAAAATGAAGTAAAGTAAGTACCTGCGCGAAGAGCGGGAGTGTCTTTGGCAGAGGCTTTGAAGAGAACGAAGGAAGAGTCGGAAGGTGAGGGTGGGAGGTAGGAGCCCACCACCGCCTCCTTAGCTTCTGCTGACGGCACAGTAAGTGGCTCTTTCAATATTGACTCAACCAGAGCAAGAGGAAGCAGACCAAGTCCTCCTTTCAACAACAACTCTCTTCGTTTTTTACTCTGTGCCTGCTGCTGCTGCTGCTGATAAACATGACGAGGAGGCAATGGAGAAGGCGAGAGAAGTGGGGGCAGTTTTGAACGTGAAGAAGAAGTAGAATGGCTGTTTGAGGAGGAGGAGGAGATGAGAGATGAGGGTATTGGAGGAGGCAGAGGACCGGTAGCCATGTTTTTTTAAGAAGAGAAAGATTTGATTTGAAATTGAAAGGGTGGATATGGTATGGATAATAATATTGACTCAACCTGCCCCTGGCCCTCCCGCTCTTATCCAATAAGGCAATATCCAGTCTTCGCTTTTTGCTTGGTTCACTCACTTCACAAACAATCTTAAGGTTGATAAAATGGCGCGTCCGCCTATTTCACGAAAAAAGAACAAATTTTTAATTTTCCCTCCTTTTTTGTAGTCTTCTTTGTGCTTTTGTTTTAATTGACGTGCATAACCAGCCTCAACCTTTTTACTCGAAACCAGAAGAAAAGTTGAACAATTCTTCTAACTCTTGGACCATTTACGCTACTAATGATAGTGAGGCCAAAGCCAAACTAATGCAAATTATTTAGAAAACAAAAGGCCTTCGATTAAATTTCACTAATTTGTTAGTTGGCCAAGGCAGTGTGTGCCGTGACCAATCCCTTTGTATTCAAGTTCAAATCCTCTCCATGCACACTAGAATAATTTAGAATATCGTTCTTGTCATAAAAATAAAAGTGTTGCTAATTTAGTACATGGGTAGTTAAATATGAATTTGAATTCAACTGCCACACGATATGGTTTGTTTGCGTATTATAATATGGGTGGACAACATAATTTTCCACTTTTAAAGGAATAATATCAATAAATAGCTATTTGTATTATAATTTACATTTACAATTAACAACATAACTTACATTTGCACTATAATTACTCAAGTCAAACTAGCATAACTTACATTTTCAATTAAAAGGAAAAAGCTTGGCTCTTTACCTGAGGATGCTTTTCTCTTTAAAATAAATGGGGTTATGACATTTGTCAATTTTCTTTAACTTTTTCTTTTGGAATTTGACAAGTATCAAAAATTATATTTAGTGTAAAAAGGTACTCCTCATCAGTTTACAAGATTGTTCCAGCATAGCAATGATAGCATGGACGATGACGATATCTCCATGTATATATTCTTCAATTGAGTTACCATTGATATTACATATGCATAAACAGATCAAATACTCCCATGTCAATGTCATCCCAGCTTGTAATTTGTTACTCAGAGCAAAGCAAGCAACCCCACACAACCGAGGCCGACAGCGTCGAAATTGGAAAAGTCTTTCCGAACGGCAGCATCTTTACGTTTAGGAGGCGAGCAACGCCGAAGCTTCCTGGTTTTGGAGAATTGAAGCAAATAATAATGGTGGATATTTTTTCAGTGAAATTTAGCCTGAATTTCGCAGAAAGAAAACCCAAGAGGAAGACAAAAGAGAGAGAGGAGGAGGAGGCTCTCACTGGCTGGTTGAGGGCAGTTCATTTGATTTGGAATTTTGGAAGAAAAACCAAAAACCCAAGACTAAAGCTTTAGCTAGAACACCAGAGATAGGAGTTCAGACTTTTTTTTTATAAACAAATTCATTACCTCTTCTGTATGTCTTCTCTTCTGGCTTTGAGTTTATTCACTACAATTCAGGTACTGCTTCTTTAATTTTGGCTCTTCATTGCTTTGTTCCAATTTTAATTTAGAATTTGATGTTATGTTACTTTTATTTCTCAGCTTGTAGCTTGTTTACAAATACCCTTTACTGTCATGGATCTAAAATCCCATTTCTTTTTATAGATTTAAGCATTTGTTCTGATGCATGCCATGTTCATCTTTTGATTACTTTGCAGATTGTGTGTGACCCTCATGGTTTCTCAACAAGGACAAATTAATTGTCATGCTTGAATCTGATTGTTAAGTTTGGAACTTTGTGCTGGAAGCCCAAGTTTTTGTTTTCTTTTTCGTTTTTGCCTTTGCTTTTCGGGACAAACTATGTTGTCTGCATTGAACACTAAAGTTCGACTGGTTAGATGTCCTCAATGTCGGCAGCTTCTTCCAGAGTTGCCAGAGTTGCAGATTTTCAGGTCTACAGGTGTGGTGGATGTGTTGCCACTCTCAAAGCCAGAGGTAATCAAATCATCCTCTCTTTAATCTAGCTATCTACTTCATTTGTTGTTTGATTCATTTCAGCATAGAGATTTTCTGGATATTAAAACATCTTTCTGTGGGATTAGGCTGATTTTAACCCTCAATGTCTTCATACTTCGTAAATATATTTGTCATCACTTTCTCAAATGATTATAGATTAAAAGACTTAATTTGTGTTCCTTCTCCTGGCCCTAGCATCATGAAACACCCTTGTATTGTATTCCGTTCCATCCAAATTACTCAGAAACCGTAAGTAGGATTTACAACCCCTGACGTGTCCAACTTCCAAGTTCCAACCTCTTAGCTTGCCTAAACGGCTGCATGATGCAAACACGCTCTAATTGTGATAAGAGCAAAGCAAAGTCCCCCCCCCCCCCCCTCCTCATCAAGATTCCTATGAAACGTGAAATTCCATGTCAATGGAAAAGAAAGAGAATCAACACACATACTAGCCATGGAATTATTGTGTGATCATCAGAATTTAATAGCTCATAAGTCTTTCCAACTTTAGCAACCTCTAAAGAAGTTTTCTCAAGGATGAAGATAGCCCCGGGTCCGTTCTTGGAGTTATGGTCTACTGGGGTAATTGGAATACCCTCAAGTTCAATTGGGTTACCCCCTTCGTTTCCATTACTCTGTTTCTCAATCATAGCTCTCTTGTTGATGCCCTCTGGCTACAAAGCCTCTGTTTCTTCTGCTCTGTCATATATATCTGCCCTCTTCTTTCGCTTCTTTCCCTTCACTGCATATGGCCTCACCATTTCCGTAGCTTACAGTCACCATTTTTATCCTCAACAGTAACCTCAATCTCTGCAAGCCTGGGCATGCATCCAGTCTTCAACAATCTCAATCTATCCAGACGTCACAACGCCGGCGCTCTTTTCACTACAGTTCAGGTTTTTTCTTCACCTCTAAATTTATTCCCATTTTACTCCAACAGCAAGGACATTAGCCTGTCTCTTTTCTATTATTGGAACATCCTTGACTAATCTAGCCAACTAATACTGGTTCTTGAGGGATCTGAATTGGAAAGGTTCTCATAAATTATATTAGCCCCTCAGAATTGAATTACTCTTTCCTTTCGTTATTTCTGTAGCTTCAGCTGAGTTTGGCTACTCTTCTTTCGATTGAATAGACGTAGGGGTAGAACATGCTATTTGGAGTCTGATCTCAACTTCAGTGCCCTGCCAGGAAAATATATTATGCAGGACTGATGGAGAGCTATAGAGAAAAGAGGAGAGACCTTCATGTTGTGTTCATTTTGAGTTGGAGAAAATATATGATAGGGTCTGAAGCAGAGATATGTGGTGTGTTATAGAAAAAGGAGTTCCTTCCTACCAAGTTTGTGGATGTGATTAAGGATATGTATGATGGGGTGATGACTAGTGTGAGAATATTTATAGTATAACTAGTGAGCTTTTGAATACTCTAGGCTTACATCAAGGGTTGACCTTTAGCCCTTGTAATTTTTCCTTGGCTATGAACTACTGTTATGTTATTCACATATGACATGGTGTTAGTTGATAAAACCAAATTAGGGTTAAGTGTGAAGTTAGAAGCACAGAAGAGAAAGTACTTGGTATGTGGAGTAACTTTAGCTTAACTAGGAATAGACAACAGGACACAGTAAAGATTGGTGACCACATGATCCCTAATGAAGGACAGATTGAAGAGGATGTTATCAAAGAATTAAAGTGTCTTGGACTAAAGTAGTGAACTGCTTTTCAAGTGTTGTATCACTGTAACGTTCATAGGAAGTCGAAGAGAATCTTTTATAAGCATGGTTCTGAAATAAGGTGAGTTTCGTCAAGATTAAGATAAGCAGAAGGGTGTTTTTCTTTTTTCTTTTTTATTTATTTTATTGGTATAAATGATTTTTATTCATTGTTTAGTTTGGTTGTGCAGGATTAGATAGTTTGCCTATGCTTGGTAATGGTTCCCATGATGACAACAGCGACTATGACGATCAACACTACCAGACAACTGTAATGTTAAAAACTCATAATCATGATGAAGTCACTTTTGTTTCTTATTTCTTGCCATATTTAATAATTAATTGAACATTTTTACAATTTCAGGGCTCTGATGATTCCAACCCCACCAAGTCGCTTTTACTGAGCGGTTGTCCCCATGCTGACACTGACCAAGACGAGCTGGGTAATGTAACAAGGGTATTGGTAAAGACTCTTAACCTTAATTAAACCTCTTTTTTTTTCATACATTCTTGCAACAACATGAACTTATTTTCAGTTTCAGGGCTCTGTGGATTCCGACCCGAGTGTGTCTCCTTTACCTTGCAATAGTACCCATGCTGGTACTGACTATGATGGGCTAGACAGTGCGGTAAGGATAATGGTCAAAGGCCATAACAATAACAAAACCAAACTTTTAACTTTGACATTATCTTGCAACACTTTTATAGTTCCAGTTGAACTTATTTGATCAGGGATCTGATGACTCCAACCTCAGTGTCTTGCTTTTACCAAGCAGTAGTCCTCGCAGTGGCACCGACTATGACGAACCGGGCAATCTGGCAAGTGAGGTGAAAAACTCATGACCATAAACTCCCTCTTTTAACTATTTCTTGTGAGATAAACAAGCAGGTTTAATTTTTATTTTTAATTAAACGTATAAATAGTTGTAAGGCTCTTACAGTTCATAATTGCAGGGCCCTTCTGGTTCAAATCCTCCTGGGTCTGTTGCTATTAACATTGGCTTGCAGGTTGAAAATAATGATCCACAGCACAGGACAAGGGTAATGCTCAAAACTCGTACTCATGATTAAACTAGCGTCTTGTTAACATCTCTTGTGTGGTTTATTTGGTACCCATTTTAATTAGAAACTGAACTGATTATAACTTCCGTGTAGGTTACTTCCGTACAGTTGACCTTTATGCTCGTTGGTTTCAACCTAGAAATGTTGTCAGCAGGTTTCGATCAGGTTTCCTCTGCAAGTAAGCCTCTTTATGCACTAATTAGTTTGCTGTTGGCCATTGCGGCTGTGCTTACTTGCATCCTGGAGCTCATTCACAATGGTATAAAGGACAAAGATGCGTCTCCGAATAGACTTGTTTTTGGTACGTTGCCTGACATTTTCGGATTGGGACTTGCTGTGATTCAATGTGTTTGCTCGGCAGTGCAGTATTATTTCCTCCATCATCATCATAGTAATCCAATGAAACTGTCCCCTGTGCCTCTCTTTTTCTTCACCTGTTTGGTGGTTTTGAAATTGAAAGGGAACTAGAGCCACACTGTTTATATATTCAGGACGCTAAAGCTTATGACAGTAGGCAATATGTGTCATGAGTTTTGTATATGTAAATTAATTAGACAATGTGTCGCATTCATTTTGCATATAGCAATTTTTTGTCACATCAGATAATTCAAATGACCTTTTTGTCAATTACAAGTCAGTCCCCAATCTATTATGTTTGATTTTGCGGATGAACAGCTAACCACTCCATATGTGTTCACGTATCGCATACGTTTCACTTTATTGTGTTTGTGTATGTTCTAATGAGTTTGTCTTCTTCTCTGTTAGGCTTTCTTGTGCTTTGTTCTGTTTGGCTTTTAGTTGTGCCTAAGGTGGGGAAAAAAATTGATGAACCGGTGGAACCAACCAAACCGGACTGGTTGGGGTGGTTTAGCTTGGTTATTTTTCTCTCTATTTTTATATGAGTTTGACAGAACTGGCTTGAATCGGTTGGTCGCAGTTTCAGTTTTGTTTTGAATCGAGAGAACCCACTCGGACCATTACTTTTTGTTTTTCATTTTACATATGTCGCATGACATAGAAAATGAGATACTAGAAATATAACTCGCCATTAGGGTTGCTTGTATCCAACCAAATTTGTTCAGAATTCAATCTACTTTTTCTTATGTAAGTGAGTCGTTTTACCAAATTATACGACTCGAAACTGCACGTGGAGCTCAAGGTGGAAAACATAGAGCTGGAAACATGGAGTGGGAAACAAGGAGCGAAAAGTACAAAGCGGCCTCACAAATTACTTTTAAAATATATATATTATTATTACGGAGCGCCCTGAAAATTCCTTCTATAAAATGAAACAATGGGAGAAAAAAAATCACACTTAGAAAAATCTTGAGGAAAATCTAAACCCATCTCCTCAAACTGCCATCTAAACCTATCTCCTCAAACTCATAAAAATCTAAACTCATCTCCTCAAACTTAGATAAAAAATGACCTCTTCATTTCCATTTTCTATCGATCTAGACCTAGCTCCGCCAACACAAACATGGAGGTAAAGGGCTGCACCCATGTGGATGCCCTGCTCTGCTTCCTCATGAGGACCAGTTATCGTAAACGACTCTTTACTCCTTGACAATTGAAAATACCTGCAGGATGACTCAAAATGCACACTTATCCTAGACACATTCTAGATAATGTTTACCGACTTCTTCGTAACTCAACTTCTGTCATGGGATGATCTTCGACACTCCTTATGTTGAACGCAATACTGGTCACGATTGCTTCAAGCTCGCCGGAGGAAAACCGCCACCACGGTCTTGGTGCCCTCAACCGTATGAGTCACCGACATGCATATGTATGCAATATGAATGAAGAAAGGATTTGATAAATCACCAAGTAAACATGGAACACTTGATGATTTATCTCAAATATATGCACAACAGCTTTCTTGGAATTTTAGATGCTCAAACCAACTATATGAAAACTCTACTAAACTAAAGAGATGCACACAAAGATTTATACAAAACTTATTCTCCACAATCCACGTGAAGGCCCACAATCACAACACAATATCTTGCCATGCATTCAATTTGATAGTCTTAGAATCCTATATGATTTCGTCATATTCTCCATTGCACTACAATCAATTGTTTATCCAATTAAACAATATATATCAAGATGTAAACACGAAACCAAATAGGATATTAATTAAAACATCCTTTCCAAGTCCAAGATAATGAAAACATAATATTTTGATCTAAATCAAAATAGAGTCCAACTAGGAAAGTAATCTTAAGAGATAAAATATAATCCTATTAAAAATAGAATTAGCATAAAAATACTTGAGTGAAAATAATTCCAACTAGGAATCCTATAATGAATGCATGATTATGTCATGATTTACCTGAAATCAGATTCCTCATATCGGTCAAGTCATGCTTTGGAAACCTGGGATTGAATGTGTTGCGCCAAAACGTCTAGTAAACGATATTCACACACTAACTCCCAACCTATGCTAGAGTCTAGGAAATGACAATACAAATTTCATACTAACAACAATGATGTTGCTATTGGAGTTGCGAGGAGTTAGATGACTCCAAGAGATGTGTGTGTGCTCGAAACAATGGATGATACCCAGGTGGTCAGTGATGCCACGACATTGAGTGTGCAAAGTGCGGCATCTGACCCAAGTTGGGGAATTGCCTCATTGTGAAATCCCAAGAGGTAGAGGTGCTAAGATGTGAAACCACATATATATATATATATATTGGGGAATATTTAGTTATTAACATAGATAGTTAAGTCTATATATATATACATATAAAAAATTACGTGCTATATTTTCATAAATATTATCACTAATAAATATATACTTTAAATAAATATCTGGATACGTTTTATTTTCGTTGCAACTCTTGCATGTTATTAATACTTGGTGGCTAAGTTAAGGTTTGTAGTGATCAACTTTGATTGATATTAGTGATAGACATGTCCATTTTTTTATAGCCAAGCAAGGAGCACAATCACCTTGTGAGTTGTCTTCTGCATATCTTGAGTTTACTTAGCTTTGAACACCTTCTGCTATAATTTCTTATAGCTGGCAGCATTACAGTCATATGCACATGCCAATTGACACCACTTAGTTGATATGCCGACTTTCCCCTCCTATATCATCTTTAGCTGACTCTTATTGTACTATAAATAGGAATCATTTCCTTAACTTAGTTTTTAGGACATGCATGGTAACGCATGATGGAAGAAGAAAGTGATAGAGAGAGGAAAGAGGAGGAAAAATATTAGAAAGCGTTAAACAAGAAAAACTTTGGAGGAACTCAAGGTGTTGGATTGTAGAGTTATCTTACGTTCAAGGTAGGGGTTTCTTGGGGGCCTTTTTCAGAGATTGATCTAATTAAATTTCGTGAGCTCTATATTATGTGTAATGGATATTTTTGATATTGTATAATGCTCTTGAAATTGGATGTTTATAAATTTTCAACTATTTGGTTAATGTGGTACTGTTTGATTTACGTTCCTTGTATTGGATATTTACATACTCTTAATTATTAGAACAATGTGGGTATAATCATATGTGCATTGGTGATATTTTAAATGACTACTTTGTTGCAAAGGGCATAATTATATCATGTCATGGAATTTGATTAGAATTCTGGAGTTGAGAACATAATGGTGGAAAAGAGGGTAATGGAAATAATCTTTTGTGTAGTTGAGTCTAACTCTTGGCAGGTACTAAGTCTCAGGGATCCCACCGTGCATATGATTTTTGGGTGATTCGGGACTGGCGACAGGGAGTTAGACAAGATGACTAACAAAAGGGAAATTATGAGATGATTGAGATGGGTGTTAGTTCATATCAACGGACATTCGGGACCAAGTGGTATAAACATGGTATGGGACGTGCAGGTCTGCTTATCCAGTTATATGAATTAAAGAGATTAGATAAAGAGCATTCATGCATTAATATTATTAATGTGATATTTGGCTGTGTGATTGCATGTCACTTAATTTAATTATATCAATTTACCATAAAAAGGTTTATGTCCCTATTGAACTATGGTTTTGCTCAACCCCTAATAGATTTTGTAGGTACCGAACCTGAAATCTAGAGCCTATGATGATTTTGACATGTCTATAGAGTGTGTTTTAAACTCTCGATTAGTTCTAACTTGTAAAATAATGTAAAAATTTTAAGGTTTCAGATGTTGTCGTTTCTGCGTTTCCGCTGAATATTCTATGTGAAATATTTATTTTATTATTTAAATGTTTTTCTTCACATTTTAGTTCTAGTTTTTATTAAATTCTATAATTAAGGTGTGAATCACGTCTTAACCCAAGGTTTTGTAAATCCGAGGGTTGGGGCGTGACATAAGAGCTCAGTTGGTTGTAGAGCAAAATTTGGTTGAAGATTGTCAGCATGTGATAAGGAGTTTGAAGAGGGAGAGGGCAAATACGGCGGAGGCAAATCGACATCAACTTGAAATGTTGCAGGAAGATAATCAAAAGTTATTAAAGATGGTAGATTTTAACTCTCAAGACATGCAAAGGCAGTTAAAGGCCCTGGATTGACCAGGTAAAAGCAAGCATCGAGATCACGACACAAGTTATGGTCAAGCTAAGGGTGTGATCTTTGGGAGCTCAAGTAATGAGTCCCAAGAAGTTGTGCGTGAAAACCCAAGAGAAGAAATCTAAAGGGCCAAACTAAAGGCTCCTATTGTGGAATCAGGAAGTGTGTCATGTTGTTATTTTTTTTAATAATTTTTTTAAGTTAATGAAATCTCATGTTTCCTCTTCTTTTTTTAATGTGAAATAACCTTTTTATTAACATGATGATGTCCCATGTTTCCTAAATTTAATGTTTTCGCTTTTTAAATTGGAAACTAGGAATGAGTAAACAGGTTATTAACCAGGTAGCCTATTTAATAACATGTTTAAGACGACACGACACGTTTACTAAATGGGTCGGGTTTGGATTGAGTATTCTTAAAACGTTCATTATCTTGACACGACCCAACCTATTGCCACGCCTAAGTGAGTAGTAGTGTTTGTCAGCGTACATTATATATAATGTTAGTCACACAAGCCCATCAGACAATTAAGTTTTATCAATTTATTTTGTTAAATTAGTAGATAATTGGTTAAATAAACATATCTCAAATTTCTTCAAAACTTCCATATATTTCTAATAATTTCCATGATTTTTATTCATTTTTTTACTGATTATCGATATTTCCATTGAAATTTCCGCATTTTGAGACTATTGATATTTCTTACCCAGCCCATTATTCTTTACCCAGTCCAATTTTATCACCCAAGCCAAAAAATAAATAAATCAAAACAAAACAAAACAAACAAAAGAATATTCTCTCCTCCTCTATCTGAGTCAGCCCGTGAGTCCGTGACTCTCCCTCTCCCCCACTTCACATGCCCAACTCTCTTCATTCTCTTCCTTTCTTTTTCTTTCTCTTATTTTGCTTCTTATTTTTCTTCATATATATATATATATATATATATTTTAATACAAAATAGTAGGAAACCTGCAGAGAAAAGCCTCAACAAACATCAACTAAAACATCAACGAGTAAGCCAATGCAAGATTACCATAGTGGTTGTGGACCTCCCCTTCCCTCTGCTTGGCACCCCCAGGTTTCTTTCCTCCTAATGTAACCAAAAACCATTCACGAGTAGAGCAAGAAAAACTCGTATAGGCCTCTCTAAAAACATTTTGATAATAAATAATCTCACAATATCGGCTCAGCATATGAATATTCTCCAAAATAGTAGCAATTTTCCAAGGTCTGGAGCAATGTTTTTTTAATGGAAGTTGAGTTACCCAATTGGTAGAGATGCTTGTTATATACAATTTGGGAAGTGTCATAAAAACAAAATAGGTTTTATTGAAATTTCAATAAAAACTTTCCAATTGAATCATGGGTCCGTGCATGTCCCTATCATTACTCGTTTTTTATCGGAAGGATTGTTGATCATCAAATGGGAAACTATGACGACATTTACCAAACGGTTTTATTGGTCAACTCATCGAGAAATTATAGAGTTACAATATTACCACGTTAGTTGGTGATATTTTTATTCAAAATATGCATGTGTCATTTTAAAACGAAAATAATTATTCTTTTTATAGCCAGACTTTATTTATATCCACTGAAATAAAAATAGAAGAAAAAAAATATGTCCTAGCAACCCAACTCCAACCCCATGTCTTCGTATTATTCTGCCTACCATCAACAATAATAGTCACAAGCAAGCTAAATCCCCTTAGCCCAATAAATTGTTGCAACCAGGAAATTTCATCATCATTGAATAAATAAAAATTATATAATCTTAATATCTGATGGGTCTTACTGGATCCACAACCCAGACCCAGTATAATACCCAACACAATCAACCTCTTCAATATCAATTTGTAGCTTGTCTGTGATACACCCACCTCCCATTACAACCGTCTTCACATCTAATGGCAATCTATAATTTAGAAGTCAACAAACAAGTGGGACCTTCATCAACGAGAAAATATAGATAGATCTTGGGGTATTATTACAAATTACGAACACCCATATTACAAATTATTTAACAAATAATATTCAATAACTAAATGCTGTTATTATACATGTTTTAATTATTTATTTTAACTTTTTATAGATCCCCCAAGCAAAATTTGTTTTAAGCCCCTGATATTTTCAATTCTATTATTTGAACCACTAATTAAAGATTGGTATGCATTATATTAATTTATTGTTTTAATTTGGTTTTCATTGTTTATCAACTGATGGGGGAAAAACCAGAGTCATATAAGTACAACTTTTCTCTTCACCCCTGCCCTATATACAAACTAACAAAGAATTGGAGAACGAGAACGTACTTATAAAGGAAAGCTCGGATATCATATTAATCCTTACATGCATCCATGTTCAAGATTAACAATAAGTTATTAAGAAATTTAATTACCCTAGACAGAAAGAAGAGCAAGATGCGTTCCAGATAAAGACATTACTTTAGTTTTCATATATAGGAAAGGAATTGGAGGGAAAAGAAGGTACCACGGCAGAGTGGAATTGTGGAAAAGTAAACAACCCTTGTTAGCTGATGAGCCAACTACCAAGTTCTGCAGAATTTATAGGCTCTTCCTTTCTTTTATTTCTTTTTTCTTTTGTTGTGAACTGAATAAACTTCATATATTAACTTTCCTCTTCTTTGCTTCCCTTTAATGTGTGGTTATAAATAATACTCCATACATACTGTTTGTTTGTTTGTTTGTTAGTCTCTTCTCTGAAATTACAGATACAATAATAATAGTAATAATAAGGAAGACATATGCGTCGGTGAAGAACGAGGAAGCTTCCTTTCTCGCACCCTCGCACCCTCTCGCCCCCTCGAATGGCATTGCCTTTCGTTAACGAGGGCTGCCCTCAACTCTGGTTCACCTCCCCTGAATTGGAACCCCCTTCCTTTCAAGATCGCCATGTTTGTCACCGGAACACCTATCTTCACCTCTTCTTATTCCGCGACTGTGTCTGTCCACCAGAGAATTGGAACCATGTTGGGTCGTACTTATCCTCAGCAGCAGCAACCTCAATCTCTGCAAGCCTTGGCACGCAGCAAGTCCTTGTGTCTTCGACAATCTCAGTCTCTCCGGACTTCACAACGCTGCTGCTCTTTAAACTACAATTCAGGTTTTTTTTTCACCTATAAATTTCAATTTAAAGGTCCAAATTAGGTTCTCATACATTAGACTAGCCGCTCAAAATTTAGCAAGAAGTGAATTATTTTTCCCTTTTTGTTATTTAGAGGTAGAGATTACTGTTTGGAGTTTGATGTGTCCTGCCTTGAAAGTCTACTCTGCAGGCTATTTTCGGTGCAAAAGAATTACCTTAGCAAATTTGTATAATTGTTTGCAAAATTCGTCTGTGTATTTTCAGATTACAGGACTTACTCCTGTCCCCCAACCCTGTATATTGTAGGAAATGATGCAGATTACAGTCCGGATTTCTCAAATGCCGAAATTGAATTTAAGAACAAAGGTGAGTTTCCTTGAAATCAAGATAAGCATGTTAGAGAAATGAAATCTAGCAGGTATGGAAGAGAGAATTTTACTTCTATATTTTCTGTTGTACATTCAGCACTCTGTATCTCAGCAACAGAGCTCACTCACGCACACAGTACAAAACCGTTGGAGGAGAGAGAGAGAGAGACAAATTCTAAACTCAATCTCAACCATCCATTACATTCTTGGAGATTAGGACACTTGTCCAATGTTAAGCCCTATGAGACTTAACCAGCACATTACTTTCTTTCTTTTTTTTCGACACACAAGCTCAGCCTATAGACTCAACCTATAATCTTCTTCTAATCAGATCATCAATTTACACTCTAACACTCCCCTTTAAATTCTGAACTGATTTCACTGCAAGAAGATCTCTAAGATAGGTGAATTGTTCTCTTGCCAATGCCTTTGTGAAAATGTCAGCTACTTGCTCCTTTGTAGAGCAGTGAATCAAGTCAATCACTCCTTGCTGTAACGCCTCCTTGATGTAGTGATACCTTAGATTGATATGCTTGGTTTTTTGATGGAATATAGGATTCTTAGTGATAGCAGTAGCTGAGGTGTTGTCACAGTTCAATGGTGTTGCAACAGTTTGTATTTCACCAAAGTCTTCCAGCATAAATCTTAACCAAGTGGCTTGTGTAGTTGCCTTTGATGCACTAATATACTCTGCTTCAGCTGTGGATAAAGCAACACATTGTTGCTTCACAGATGCCTAAGAGAAAACTCCACTGCCAAATGTAAAGGCATATTCGGATGTACTCTTCATATCTTCTTCTGATCCAGACTAGTCACTATCACAAAAACCCACCAAAACTGAACCTTCTCCTTTCTTGTACTCCAAACCAAAATCAAGAGTCCCTTGAATATATCTCAGAACTCTCTTTACAATTCCATAATGCTTGTTTGTAGGACAATGCATAAACCTTGCCAACAAGCATGCAACATACATTATGTCAAGCCTTGTTGCTGTGAAATACAGCAAGCTTCCCACAATTTTCCTGTATTGAGCTTCATCTGCAGCTCCACTATCATCATCCTTCCTCAGTTTACCATTTGGTACTAGGGGAATGCTCACAGGTTTACAGTCCTGGAGCCCAAACCTCTTCAACAGAGTTGAGGCATATTTTCTCTGATGTATGAAGATACAATATTCAGTTTGCATAACCCTTATTCCTAGAAAATGGTGTAGTAAACCCAAATCTATCATTTCATACTTATGCATCATATCAGTCTTAAACTCCTGTAATAACTCTTGAGAATTTCCAGTATAAACTATATCATCAACATATATAGACACAATGATCATATCTGAGTCTTTTCTGCACTTGGTATATAATGTTGCTTCACTAATACTTCTTTTGAAACCACACTGCGCAAGGTAGGAATCTATCTCTCCACACCATGCTCTAGGTGCCTGCTTCAAACCATACAAGGCCTTGTGCAATTTGTACACTTTATCCTCCACTCCTTGCACAATGAATCCATCGGGCTGATCTACATACACCTCCTCTTTAAGCACACCATTTAAGAAGGAAGATTTCACATCCAACTGGTATAGCTTCCAATTGTTCTTTGCAGCTAGTGCAATAAGAGTTCTTATGGTGTCTAACCTTGCCATAGGTGCAAAGGTTTCATTATAATCTATTCCGGGCTTTTGTGCATAGCCCTTTGCAACTAGCCTTGCTTTATTCTTTTGAACCGAGCCATCTAAGTTCAACTTTGTTTTATACACCCATTTGACCCCAATCACAGGCTTATCGAATGGTCTTCTTACCAACTCCCATGTCTGATTTTTCTCAATCATATTCATTTCGTTTTCCATTGCCTTTTTCCATGCCTCATCCTGTGTAGCTTCATCAAAACATTCAGGCTCAACAATGCACAGATAACATCTTTCATAAATCTCACTCAAGTTCCTGTACCTCAGTGGTGTATCATCATACTGAGGTGTAGATAGAAGGCTACTTGAATCACCAAAGTTAGTGACTGGAGAATGTCTAACTTCAATTTGAGACCCATCAGATATCACTTGGTCCTGAGATTCAAGCCTTTCATCCATCCTACCCATGTCTAAAGGCTTACTTGCAGATAGAGGAATGCAAACTTCCTTGACTTTGTGCTTCTCCCAATCCCATTTGCCATTCTCATCAAAGATTACATCCCTAGAGAGCAAGACCTTTTGAGTCGTTGGATTCAATATTCTATACCCTTTCTCACAAACACCATATCCAATAAAAACACCTATGGCACTTGTTGCTTCTAATTTGTGCCTCAAATTTCCTGGAATAAGAGGATAACACACTGAACCAAACACTTTCAGGTGTTTAATCCCAGGGTTTCTTCCATTGAATTTCTCAAACGGTGTAATATTCTCCAAAGCTTTTGTAGGACTTCTGTTTAGCAGATACACTGATGTGTTCACTGCTTCACACCAGAGGTTGTAAAGAAGTTTCTTCTCATGAATCATGCACTTTGCCATCTCCACAACAGTCCTGTTTTTCCTTTCTACAACTCCATTCTGTTGTGGAGAGTATGCAACGGTGAGCTGTCTTTCTATCCCCAGATCTTCACAAAACTTTGCAAAATCATTTGAGATGAACTCTCCTCCCCTATCTGTTCTCAACTTCTTTACATGATATCCACATTGAAGCTCTCCCATAGCTTTAAACTTCTTGAACACACGGAATGCCTCTAATTTGTTTCTCAAAAAATAAACCCAACACATTCTTGAATAGTCATCTATGAAGGTAATAAAATATATGTTTCCACTCAGACTTGGTGTTTGCAATTCTACTGGCTCCTTTGCTCTCCATTTTGACTCTTTGGGAAATGACTCTCTGTGATTCTTCCCCAGTGCGCATCCTTGACACTCGGTATCACTATTTTGGATTTCAGGCAGCCCCAATACCATTTATTGACTCTGTAATAGCTTGAGACTTTTGAAGTTTAGATGACCAAGTCTCTTGTGCCATATCTGTGCACACTCTTGCACATTTGTTTTCAATGCACGCTTCTTGTTGATGCTGAAGATTAGAGCAAAACACCTATTCCCTTTCTGTTTCACACTGACCACCAAGTTTCTTAAAGATGTATCATCAAATATATCCACCTTAGAATCTCCAAATAGAAGAAAGTAACCATGCTCTGTCATCTGTCCTACACTTAGCAAATTCTCTGCAAGACTAGGTACAAGCATAACCTCCTTTATATACATGTTACCCTTCATTGTTTCAATGATCAGTGTCCCTTTTCCTGCCACTTCAACCAAAACTCCATTGCCTACTTGAACCTTTGCTTTCACTCTTCTGTCAATGTCTACAAGCAAGTCTTCCCTAGATGTCATATGATTGCTACATCCACTATCTATGTACCATTCATCACTTATCTTCTTTACTTCTCCAGAATGATTAGCAAAGAATAAATTTCCAGTTTCTTCAACCTGATTAGCAAAGTTCACCTGCTGCACAGCCTTGTTCGTATGACAGTATTTTGCAATATGCCCAATTTTGCCACACTTGTGACACTTGACTTTGTTATTAACCCAACACTCCCCATAATGAAGTCTATCACAGAATTTACACTTATCCCCAGTGTTATTTGCCTCATTCTTCACAGAGGAACTAGCCTTATTACTCCAATCAGCCTTGTTACTCCCTTGTGTCCCTTTTGGCTTAGAGTTTTTCTGGTGTTTGTTATTCGGTTTTGCTGCAAAGTTCAAGCTAGCAAATGCCTTCTCCGTACTACAACTCTCTCCATATCTATCAAGCCGTTGTTCATAACCCTTTAAAATTGCAACCACATCCTGAGCATCAATGGTGTCTAAATCCTTAGTATTTTCTATCACAGCTGCAATACTATCATAGGTAAAATGATTAACAGCTTCTGAACAATTCTTTGATTACTCCGATCTTCACCATAACTCATCATTTGATTAATCAAATCAAACAGCTTAGCAATATATCCAGAAAGAGATTCATTATCATTTATTCAAGTATATTCAAAATCACGCCTAAGACCTTGAAGTTTCACATATCTTACTTGCTTATCACCAACAAATTCTTGTTTCAGAATGTCCCACGCAGCCTTCGCACTTTCCTAGGTTGCGATTCTCAGGAAAATTTGATCTGAAACGGCACCTTGGATGATGCCCAGTGCTCTAGCATCCTTAACCTCACTCTGACGCAACAGCTTCCTCTCTGCCTCCGTGAGATCCTCCTCCTTCGTCACCGGAGTTTTGTACCCAATTTCAACCAGATCCCACAGTTCGTGCGAACGGAAAATGGTCTTCATTTTGATTTGCCTGAAATCAAAATTCTCGCCATTGAAGATTGGCGCTCTGAGTTCTCCTCCTCCAGATCCAGCCATGGAAGACCCGATCGTTGTTATGACCTTGAATCATTGCAATGAGCTTTTGCTGTGAATCTGAGCCCACCCTAACCAACACGACGCCCAGAAATTCAGACCAAAACTGGCTCTGACATGTTAGAGAAATGAAATCTAGCAGGTATGGAAGAGAGAATCACAGGAATGATCAGAGAGAATTTTACTTCTATATTTTCTGTTGTATATTCAGCGCTCTGTATCTCAGCAACAGAGCTCACTCACGCACACAGTACAAAACCGTTGGAGGAGAGAGAGAGAGAGAGAGACAAATTCTAAACTCAATCTCAACCATCCATTACATTCTTGGAGATTAGGACACTTGTCCAATGTTAAGCCCTATGAGACTTAACCAGCACATTACTTTCTTCTTCTTTTTTTCGACACACAAGCTCAGCCTATAGACTCAGCCTATAATCTTCTTCTAATCAGATCATCAATTTACACTCTAACAAAGCAAAAGTGTGGTTTTTTTTTTCTCTCTCTCGCTCTCTTTTTATGGATTGTCCACATGATTTCTATTCATTGTGTAGTATGGTTGTACAGGATTTAATAGTAAGAAGAACCTCAGCACGTTGCCTTTGCTTAGCAAAGGCTCCCATGATGACAACAGCAACCATTACAAGCAACAATACCAGACTACAGTAATGTTGAAACCTCATAATCATGATAAAATCATTTTTATACTTCATTGAACCATTTTTATAATTTCAGGGCTCTGATGATTCCAACCCCACCGAGTCGCCTTTACTGAGCGGTGGTCCCCATGCTGACACTGACCAAGACGAGCTGGGTAATGTAACAAGGGTATTGGTAAAGACTCTTAACCTTAATTAAACCATTTTTTTTCTCATACATTCTTGCAACAACATGAACTTATATTCAGTTTCAGGGCTCTGTGGATTCCGATCCGAGTGTGTCTCCTTTACGTTGCAATAGTACCCATGCTGGTACTGACTATGATGGGCTACACAGTGCGGTAAGGATAATGGTCAAAGGCCATAACAATAACAACACCAAACTTTTAACTTTGACATTATCTTGCAACACTTTTATAGTTCCAGTTGAACTTATTTGATCAGGGATCTGATGACTCCAACCTTAGTGACTCACTTTTACCGAGCAGTGGTCCTCGCAATGGCACCGACTATGACGAACCGGGCAATCTGGCAAGTGAAGTGGTAAAAACTCACGACCATAATCAACTCCCTCTTTTCACTATTTCTTGTGCGATAAGCAGTTTTATGATTTTAATTTGACTTATAAGTAGTTATAAGGCTACAGTTCATAATGGCAGGGCCCTTCTGTTTCAAATCCTAGTGAGTATCTAGCGATTGACATTGCGCAGGATGAACATAATGATTTTGGCCAGCCACATCACAGGACAAGGGTGATGCTCAAAACTTATACTCATATTAAACTATAGCATTTTGTTAATATCTCCTGTGAGGTTTATTTGACACCCATTTTAATTTCGAACTGAAGTGATTATTAACTTCTATGTAGGTAACTGCCTTAGGGTTGACCTTTATGCTCGTTGGTTTGAGCCTAGAAATGTTGTCAGCCGGTTTCGATCAGGTTTCCTCCGCAAGTACGCCTCTCTATGCACTAATCAGTTTGCTGTTGGCCATTGTGGCCGTACTTACTTGCATCCTGGAGCTCATTCACAATGGTATAAAGGACAAAGATGCGTCTCCGAATAGACCTGGTTTTGGTATGTTGCCTGACATTTTTGGATTGGGACTTGCCGTGATTCAATGTGTTTGCTCGGCAGTGCAGTATTATTTCCTCCATCATCGTGAGAATAATCCAATGAAACTGTCCCCTGTGCCTCTCTTTTTCTTCGCCTGTTTGGTGGTTTTGAAATTAAAAGGGGACTAGAGCCACACTGTTTATATATTCAGGATGCTAAAGCTTATGACACTAGGCAATATGTTTCATGAGTTTTGTTTTGTATATGTAAATTAATTAGACAATGTGTCGCATTCATTTTGTATATAGCAATTTTTTGTCACATCTGATAACTCAAATGACCTTATCAAGTCAGCCCCCAATCTATTATGTTTGATTTTGCAGATGAACATCTGACCACTCCATATGTGTTCACGTATCGCATACGTTTCACTTTATTGTGTTTGTGTATGTTCTAATGAGTTTGTCTTCTTCTCAGGCTTTCTTGTGATTTATTCTGTTTGGCTTTTAGCTGCGCCTAAGGTGGAGAAAAAAAATTGATGAACCGGCGGAACCAGCCAAACCGGAATGACTGGTTAGGGTGGTTTAGCTTGGTTATTTATCTCTCTATTATTATATGAGTCCAACTGAACTGGCTTGAATCGGTTGGGCTGCAGTTTCAGTTTCAGTTCCAATTTCATGGTTACAGATTAATAAATATTTTTGTCCAATTTCTGTTAGAAGTTAATAAATATTTTTTAAATCAATTAAAAAATTAGCAATACGAGACAAAATTTGAAAAACATGATGTGAAGGTTATAGCAGCAACAGTAGCAAGTGATCCAACTAAGTATTCTGAAGCATTTCTCGGTAAACCAAATGAAGAGTATTGTGCTTGGATTCTTGACTCTGAGAAGTGGGGAGGTCTGTTAAAAATAAATAAACTTTCCTTTTCCTACGTATATGAATATTGGTTACCAAACAAAATGCAAAATGAAAAGCTTTTCCTGTGAAAGTTTTGGTTATTTCTTATAGCCAACTAAGTTTCCAAACCTTAATTATACAATACTGGCTTATGTCTTCTTCTACAGTATTGAACATTGTTGATGTATTTGACAAAGGTTTTTTGCCTTGACGGTTCAAGAAATAGTTTGTGTAGCTACTTGTCTATAAGATTAACTTCAAATGATTTTCTTCTATTGTTGACTTCTCTGTCCCAATCCAGCACTGGGATACCATTAGATTTCACTTGCTGAATGTTAATTTGAAATCTGTTGTACAGGTGCCATAGAGCTTTCAATATTAGCAGATTATTATGGGCGTGAAATTGCAGCATATGATATTCAAACTACACTTGTGATTTGTATGGTCAGGTTAGCATTAGTAGTGAGTTCTCATATATATTAATCTTGTCAGCTTTCCATTTCTGAATGTTTATGCTCATTTTTGTATGGGATACTGTTGACAGGAGAAGAAGTATTCCGAAAGGGCTCTGCTGATCTATGATGGGCTTCATTACGATGCTTTAGCTGTATGTGGTTCTGATGATTTATGTTAATCAGAAACTTGTTAACTAACCTCAAGCCAACTTCCAAATTAGTCAGAAACTTGTTAACTAACCCAAATTCTTTTTTCTTTTTCTTCTTGTTCATTATATATAATTAAGCAGCAATCAAAATGTAGGTTCAGTGGAGCAAAATTAAAGAAGACATGAGTGAATGATTAAAGAAAGAAATAAATAAAAATGAAGTAAAGTAAGTACCTGCGCGAAGAGCAGGAGTGTCTTTAGCAGAGGCTTTGAAGAGAACGAAGGAAGGGTCGGAAGGTGAGGGTGGGAGGTAGGAGCCCACCACCGCCTCCTTAGCTTCTGCTGAAGGCACAGTAAGTGGCTCTTTCAATATTGACTCAACCAGAGCAAGAGGAAGCAGACCAAGTCCTCCTTTCAACAACTCTCTTCGTTTTTTACTCTCTGCCTGCTGCTGATAATTATGACGAGGCAATGGAGAAGGCAAGAGAAGTGGGGGCAGTTTTGAACGTGAAGAAGAAGTAGAATGGCCGTTTGAGGAGGAGGAGATGAGGGAAGAGGTTATTGGAAGAGGCAGAGGACCGGTAGCCATATTTTTTAAGAAGAGAAGGATTTGATTTGAAATTGAAAGGGTGGATATGGTATGGATAATAATATTGACTCAACCTGCCCCTGGCCCTCCCGCTCTTATCCAATATGGCAATATCCAGTCTTTGCTTTTTGCTTGGTTCACTCAACTCACAAACAACCTTAGAGCAACTCCAGCGAGGAGCCCAGCCTCTGTCTGGGGGCAGAAAAAAAAAACCCAGTTCCAGCGAGGAGCCCAAGCTCGGGTTGGGAGTGGGACCCACGAAGACGGGCTGACCCGAAGGCAACTCTAGCCCGAGTTCGAGGGGGGGATGACGTTAGCGTGCGGTCCACCAATAGCTAGAAGACATGTGTCGTCGTCTGAGCGCTCCGATCGCCTGCTCTCCTCAAATCCAACGACTGGGCTTCTTTTTGCTATAAAATTATGAAAAAAAATTCGAATTTTTTTTTTTAAAATACCAAAAAATTATGGACTTTTTTTTCTATAAATACCTACCAATACTATTTACTTTCAACACTAAATCCTCATACATTTTCTTCTACTTCTACTATTATTTGGGCTTTTTTTTGCTATAAAATTATGAAAAAAATTCTGGAATTTTTTTCTATAAATACCTACCAATAATCTTCACTTTCAACACTAAATCCTCATACGTTTCCTTCTACTTCTACTATTATTCACTTTTTACTCAACATTTTATTCACTTTTAAATTGTATTTTTATTTATCATCTTATCTGAAAATTTTATCCAATTGAGATATGAGTTTTATAATAAATATTGACATGTACGAATCCAAAAATCTTATTCGAAAATATTATCCAAATTAATTGTTTAGATAAACAAATTTGTGAAAAAAAAACAAAAAAATGAATAGTATTTCCCCTTTGCCATAGCAACGGGTGGAACCACACATTGCTTTTTACAAGGGCAGCTACTATTCATATGAATAGTAGCTGCCCTAATTCCCTCCTTACCATGGTAAATGGTAAATGGATGGAGTTGCTCTTAAGGCTGATAAAATGGCACGTCCGTCTATTTCACAAAAAAAGAGCAAATTTTTAATTTCCCTTCTTTTTTGTAGTCTTCTTTCTGCTTTTGTTTTAATTGATGTGCATAACCAGCCTCAACCTTTTTACTCGAAACCAGAAGAAAAGTTGAACAATTCTGACTCTTTGACCATTTACGCTGCTAATGATAGTGAGGCCAAAGCCAAACTAATGCGAATTATTTAGAAAACAAAAGGCCTTTAATTAAATTTCATCAATTTGTTAGTTGGCCAAAGCTTGTGTGCCCGTGACATGTCCCTTTGTACTCGAATTCAAACCCTCTCTCCATACATTAGAATAATTTAGAATATCGTTCTTTGTTAGAAATATAGAAGTGTTGCTAATTTAGTATATGAGTAGTTAAATACAAATTTGAATTCAACGGCCACATGGTTTTGACATTTGTCAATTTTCTCTAACTTTTTCTTTTGAAATTTGACAGATTATATCTATTGTAAAAAGGACCTCCTCATCAGTTTACAAGATTGTTCCAGCATAGCAATGATAGCATGGACGATGACGATATCTCCATGTATATATTATTTAATTAAGTTACCATTGATATTCCATAGACAAAAGCCAAGCATAAATACATCAACTACTCCCACGTCAATGTCATCCCAGCTTGTAATTTGTTACTCAGAGCAAAGCAAGCAACCCCACACAACCGAGGCCGACGACGTCAAAATTGGAAAAGTCTTTCCGAACGGCAGCATCTTTACGTTTAGGAGGCGAGCAATGCCCAAGCTTCCTGGTTTTGGAGAATTGAAGCAAATAATAATGGCGGATATTTTTTCAGTGAAATTTAGCTGAATTTTCACTATAATTTGGACTCCTATATTAGGTATTATAGTAAATCTCCTAAAAACAAAGTAGATTTTATTGAAATTTCAATAAAAACTTTCTGATTGAATCATGGTTCCGAGCATGTCCCTAGCATTACTCGTTTTTTACTAAAGGACTGTTGATCATAAAATGGGAATCTATGACGACAATTTCAGCTGGATCGATGTGTATTTGGTGCCTTCGTTGATTAAGTTAGGTTCATGTTTCGAGGTTAATTAGTTGTTTAAATAGAAATGGTTGATGTAATTTATGCTTGGCTTTTGTATTTCTAATGAATAATATGCATGGAAATATTGTCATCATCCATGATTTTTTTTTATTGGTCAAGTCACGAGAAATTATAGAGAAGTACAATATTACCACATTAGTTAGTGATATTTTCACTCAAAATATGTCATGTGTCATTTTAGAAAGAAAATAATTATTCTTTTTATAGCTGGACTATATTTATATCAACTGAAAAAAAATTAGAAAAAAAAATGCCCCAGCAACCCAGCGCCACATCTATGTCTTCTTTTTTTCTCTGCCTGCCATCACCAATCATTAGTCACAAGTGAGTCAAGTCCCCATAACCCAATAAATTGTTACAACCAGGAAACTTCATCATCATTATCAATGAATAAAAAAATTATCTAATCTTAATATCCGATGGGGCTTTTTAGATCCACAACTTACAACCAAAAATAATACCCAACACATTCAACCTTTTCAATATCAATTTCCTATTGGTCAATTTGTAGCTTGTTTGTGATACACCCACTTCCCATTAAAACCTTCTTCACATTTAATGGCAATCTATAATTTAGACATCAACAAACCAATGAGACCCTCATCAACGAGAAAATATAGATGGATCCTGCGATAGCCACCAAAAGGTTGAGAGACAAACCTGGCTATGATTTAGCAATGAGAGAGAGAGGGAGAGAGAGGAGGCGACCAGGGCAAGCAACGCGGGAGTAGGTGACTGGGTTGGGGTGGGCGATTGCTAGTCTCTTGTTTTTTTTTTGTTTTTTTTTTCTTAATTTTATTTTAAATAGTAAAAATTAGGTTCCAATTTCAGCTGTAAAATAAAGTGTGAGTTATTTAAAAGTATGACACGTAACATATTTTGATTAGAAATTATCAGCTGATGTGGTGATACCGTATTGTTCAACAATTTCTCCAAGTCACGATCCATGATGGAACAAACAATCTTGTAAACAATGCCCTTTTAAAGTTGTACCTGTCTGAAAGGGTACTTGGGTCTTTTCAAACTATGAAAGCACAACTTTAGAATGGGAGAAGAACATTCAAAAGGTTCAAACAAAAACAAAAAGTAGAGAGCTCAGCTCTCATTATCCAGAGTCAGTGACTTCTGACTCAGCTGAGAGATGTGCCCATAAAATATGAGCTGAGGAAAAGTAAAGAATTAATCTCATTACTCAGAGTCAGTTCTAAAGAAATGGTGACTGGAAATTGGAATCCAGTTTCTGGTTTCCAATCTGCTGGTGGAGTCAGTATTTGCATTGCATGCAGCTGGGAGCTCTCCTCCAGGAGCTTCCTTCCTTCCAGCATATATAGACAATAGCTCTAGAAAAGTAAATAACCCTTGTTAGCTGATGAGCCAATCTACCAAGTTGTGCAGAATTTGTAGTCTCTTCCTTTCTTTTGTTGTGAATTGAATAGAAACTTCACATATTAACTTTCCTTTTTATTCTTTGCTTCCATTTGATGTGTGGTTGTGAGTTTTCTGGCCAATAAATAATACTACATGGTAATGAGTTACCACAATCCCTAAACACAGACCTTTAGTTTTAATACCATTAAAATGTAATTTAGTCAACCTGGTAACGACTTACTATAGAAAAAAGAGGAAGAAAAAAACCAATTACTCTCATGTCAATGTCATCCCCAGCTTGTAATTTGTTACACAGAGGA